ACAGGTACAAGACGATATGCACCCTGGACAGGACGCCAGTCTATTACAGAGCACACACCCACACAAGGGCCAAATTTCCCATTAGCCAATTAACCTACCCATATGTTTTAGTGGGGGGGAAACTGATCACCCACAGGAAACTCATGCACATACTATAGGCAACAACCCAGGTCTGGAATTGAAGCCAGGACAGCAGAAATACTAACCACTGTGCCAAGTGGCATACAGTTAGTGTGACACTGCTAAAGTCACTGTGTAAGACACGGGAGACTGAAAGTCACTTTCTTTATGGTTTCATTTATTACAAGGCAATGTTCTTAGATTGGAAACTTTAAATGGAAGCATAGCACCATTTTTCTGACAGATGCACGCTGACATTTGCGGTAACCTCAGATGGATGTGGATACATTAACTACTCCTATGATCACTTTGGCGTGTTAATCTAATTAAACATTAATTTCTTTGCATAACACAAACAGACTTTATACAGACCGCAGTCACTTTTCATGCATTAATTATGTTACTTATTATGAGGAACAAATTTAATAAATGTTTCCTAGTCTTGTCTTTTAACATGGAGAAATGAACGTGTATCTTAGGTGGTATCGATTATTTAGTCCTCTGTCATTGGGGATTTAAAATTCAGACATTTACTGGCTTTTATTATTTATTATTACATACACTATCTCATAATGCAGTTTGCTAGATCAAACAGCTCTTCGCACGTAATCTGTACAAGCTTGAGTGTAATGTCTGTAAGTGCTATTTTGATAAAACACTGAACACATCTGGGCTGGTACAGTGGTCAGCACTGCTGCCTCGCAGTGCCTGAGTCCTGGGTTCAATCCCAGAAGTGGGTGTCTTCCTGCATGGAGTTTGTAGGCTCTCCCTGTGTTTGCATGGGTCTCCTCAAGGTGCTCTGGATGCCTGCTGTAATCCAGAGACATACTGGTACAGTAGGTTAATTGGCTACTGGGAAAACTTGTCCTGCTGTGAGTTTGTGTCTCTCTGGACTGGGTTCCTGGACAGGGTGTGCCCTGCCTTGTTCCCTTGTGCTCTGGCTCCCCTGCAACCCTGTATTGGATGAACCAATTACAAAATGAGGGCATGGATGGACTTACAGTAATGCATCGCTGCATGTTGTCACAGTGGTCTATATACTGTACAGCAGCTTCTAAGATCTAAGATCTTTGGTGCTGATGTCCGTTACACTGCAGAAAACCAGGGACTTAGGCAGACAGGTTTCACGGACATCTGCTCTTTACTGTGCATATCTTGTAACTAACAGAGAACGGCAAAAACCCGCCAAGACACCTACAGTAAGTGCCGTCACAACAACAAAAGCATTGCAAACATGAGCGGGCGCTTTGTGTGACAGAACGATGTCCAGCAGATTTGAGCATAGTTCCATAATCATTGCCTTAGGTTGTCAGAAACAGCCTTGCGGGGGATCGTGAGATGCAGAGGGTGAAAGGTGAACTGCCCTGAGGAGCAGGGACATCGATCAGCGCCGGCCAAGAGAGCTTAGAGTGCAGGTCAATTGTTCTGCATGACTGGAGCGTTATCTACAGTAGGGTGTGGGGGCAATTCAAGGCTATAGCTGTACAGCGAGGAGGGTGGTTTGCACCTCACCTGTTGTTGAAGGTAGTGCTCTTTTTTTGTTCATTATCTTTAATTAAAAAAAGTTGAAAAATCATCAAAGACTTAATAGTATATCAAGCAATTTACAGCTGTATAGCCTTGGGAATGCTTGACTGGTACCTTTACAGTCTCCCCTGAAATCCTGTATTAATCCCAACACTTTGTCCAAATCATTAGAGCTACAGTATGTTATCTTTCCAAAAATAAACAATTGAATAGTTAACACTAACATTCACTCCTACAGTGTATAAATACACAGTACAGCGTGTTTGAAGCTTCTGTATGAATCCACAGAAATTCAATTTGGGCTTTTTTTTAAGTGCTTACAGCCAAACATTTTTAAAAGCATATTTGTATTGCTGTTTTGGGAAGCCTATAGACAAACTGACATAAACTGAGATAATTCAATATTTGGGATTCAAATAAATTACTGAGACCCTTGGGGGAAAACTGATAGATTACATAGCATTCTTAATTATCTAAGATACTTATTTTCAAATGAAAATTAAGACACCTCTGTCTGAATTTTTGGTTTATTCTTTTAATCACCTGCAAACCAAATTTCCCATCAGCTCAGATTTTATAATAATGAAGTGCTCCAGTATTGAGATTAATTTGCCAGTTCACTGTAAAACAGTCCTGCGTTTGCGAGGTGCTATGTTCACATTTTGTTTTCTTTTTTGAAGGAAAATGTTTCAAGAGATATTCTATCCTGTTAATCATCACTAATAAAATACTCCAGTTTCTAAAACAGCCTTGGGAACAGTGGATTACATTATTGATCCAGGATGTCAGCTATTGTTTATCTGGTAAATCATGCCTTCTTGGTTTATAAAACAATGCAGCTTGCTTGTGGAAAAAATGATGTACGTGTATTTCAGAGAAAGGATTATAGTCAAGAATAGGAGCCAAATTAAAAACATTGATAGAGCATCAGATGAAAAACACTTTCAAGGGGAAGTGACAAGTCTAGTGTTGTTTCATAGCCATTACCCATCAGCTGAAAACCTAAGACTTCTTTCCAGTGATGCTTTTGAAAATAATTGCCCTTTTCTTTTGAATACATTAAAGAGACCACAGCCATTCATTTACAATTTTTATTTATCATCTGTCAGTACACCCTTGAAAGGTAAACAGTGTATCTCAAGAGTGTTCTCTTGCATAACATTGCTAAATAAAAGAAAAAATGTTCCATTAGCACCACTTCATATAGTCGAATATTTTACAGCATTTCTGCAGGGTAAATATCGCTGTTGTAAATGAAGTGTGCTTACATATACTATATACTGCAGTTGCCATAGAAACTCTTTAAGAATATGGATTCAGTTATTTAAGTTTCTCACTAATAGAAAACAGAAACAAAAGGAGGTACACAGCCATTTGGATTCCCTTCCTAAGTCATTAGGGTTAATGTCTACTGAACAAAACTGAAATCACTCTCCAAACCTCATGAAATCCCTTCCACACTTTCAAAGGTGTACAAAATATAAACAAGAATTTTAAATGGAAATCAACCTGAAACAACAAGGCATGAAAAAATAGACATTTTCTCAAGTTGCATATCTGCAGTTAAGACTTTAGAGTGTTCTCAATCAGGAGCTACTGGCTCATAATACCATACGGCTTTGGGAGACAAACTCATTTTTTGGATGTCTTACAACCAAACCCCTTCGACATTTTACAATCCCAGTTACAAAATACCACGGGGTCGTGACATCTTCGAATATAATATTTGTGAATTCCCTCATTCGCGATTTGATCTGGCCACCAGGGTCTAACACTGAATGGAAGAAGAGCAGAGTGAGATGAAACCAAGCTGGAGCTTATTAAAGGGCATCTCTCAAATTACCGGCCCGGCTAGGAACGCGAGACGAATCCGTGTTGTGAGTGAGCCTCACCCTGCCCCCTGCTCAGCGTAGCGGAGCTCGTTTGGACACGGTGATGTCATCGCCCTCCCTGCGCGTAGCAGGGACCTCAGCCGCCTGGGCTGGGGGGGGTCTCCTTTAGCTCATTCTGCTGGTTCCCTGTTGCGTTACACCGGAGACCCGGGTTCGAGCCTGCGTGGAACCACGACAGTTACACCAGCACCTGCACGTCCACGTCGTCTTGTTTTTATATTGTAACGAACGCTCCAGGTTCTGGGTCAGGAGCTCCCACTGAGCTGACTACTGTCATTTGGTGATTACTGTTTTTTGTTTTCGTTGTTCAATATACTGTAGAACATTACGCAATGGTATGCAGATTTGGCTATTCATGACCTTCCTCTACACTGAACCCTCACATCGAAACCCTACTGTCACCCTGTCACTCAGAGCTGGCAGCCCACTGAAGGTGGAAGCCTGGTCAGTACCTGGATAAGAGACCTGCTGGGAAAGCCAACGTTGGTGCTGGAAGAGGTGTTAGAGGGGCCAGCAGGGGGCGCTCACCATGTAGTCTGTGTGGGTCCTAATGCCCCATCATAGTGACGGGGACACTATACTGTAAAAAAGGTGCCAGCCTTTGGATGTGACGTAGAACCGGTGTCCTGACTCTCAGTGGTCATTGAAAATCCCAGGGCATTTCTCAAAAAGAGTAGGGGTGTCTTGGCCACAGGGGGAGTCCCTATTACCAGTTCTTAATTACCATGATCGTGAAATGTTACGTGATTTGGAATGATGTCCATCATAACTTGTTCATTTAGGGTGGAAGAGACCCCAAAGCCAACACTTAAAGCAGTGCCATTGATCTAAAAATACTGTACAAGCCCGAAGGAGACTTTCACGCAAAGTGCCGAAACTGTCACAAGCTTTGTCCCTCCGCACATCATACGGCTTGTCCTCCCCCTCTTCTCCGTTTTAGACATATTTAGTTGTGGTCTGGAGCTTTTGACGTGACTAATCAGTTATATACAGTATGGTTATGCAATATTCTTAAGTTGTTTGACCAAATACAAAACAAAATGTTCTGTGAATGAATGCACTTTAAGAGAAAAAAAAATCAATCATTCAAACATTTTTTTCTTTGAAATCTATGCCAATTTGGAGTCCAGTGGCACAAAGCCCTAAAGTGCCTTGCATACGAGACTGAGGGGTATCAGTGTATACAGGTACTGTAGGTGTGAAGGCTGAAGAAGGCGCCGTGGCCGAAATGTTGTTTTCTTTCTTCTTTTTTTCCACGTGGAATAAACCTATTACTTGTTCCTTTGCAGGCTACGCATGCTGACGCAGCTCCCCACCTGAACCACTACAGGTACTGTAACTGACTTGGCCCATTCTGCAATACATCTGGATCTGTCCTCCTTGGGCAAAAGGGGTGGAATAACCTGAAAAGATCGTTGACTAAACTGCTTATGTGAACAATACATACTTTCTCAAGTCTGCTGCTGTTTTGGTTTTGTTTTATTTCACTTCATCCACATAAAATAGTTACAAACAGTGTATCTGGGTAACATTTTATAGTACTGATCACTTGAGTGTACATAGAATCCAGCTACTGAAACAGAGATACAATTTTGGTATGGCTCTCTACACGTTTAAGGACAGAGAAATAAATGGGAATCATCCCATTACCGTAGATTAATTATTTGTGGCCAAGGAGTCGTAAGAATCTTGTACATGTCATAACCTCAGAAAGTTGAGAGCAAATTAAAGTATCAGCTTGTATACACTGTTTCATGTTGCTTCATACAATCACATTAACTTGACCTTGAGCGAGTGCCCTCTTTTCAGGAATGGAACAGCTTCTTGCTGTTTACCCACCACAGCATCCAAACATCAAAGGCAATGGTTAAATTCTGTTGACTTTTAGAAAGACATACACTGTCAGCTAAAAATGAGAGATGGGCTTATTCAAAGTCAGTTGAACGGGTTTCTATAATCTCAAAAGATAAAAACACATCAGCTGCAAAGTTAAGGATCATTTGCTCAGCCTGTTTGTATCAAACATGTTATCACAACACCAGTTAAAAGGTATAGTAGAACATAAAAACATTGAGTAAAAATGTGTAAATGGAGCTTTTGCAGTATCTGAGCTCACTAATCACCCCTACAAATTATCGCCTTGGTTTTTGTGTAATTGCTATGTGCACAGTGTCTCTCAAAGAAACTACCAGATGTTCAGTTATCAACCCATTTTCTCAATGTATGAAAAACACCTCATCTGTGAATAAAAATGTATTCTTAATATTTCAAAGAGCAAAAAATGTATTTATGTAAAGGAAAAAAAAATACATAAGTCAGTACTGGTATATATATATGTATATATTAATAGAGTTGCAAATTCATACAAGATAAACAAAGTCTAACAATATCATCTGGTCAACATTATATTGAGTTTAGAGGGAAAAACATGATTGTCACTCACTGTGCTTCACAAAAAGTACTCTTTATGAATAAATAATCTGATGAAATATTTACAATATCAACAAATGGAAAAAAGCTTTGGATCCTTTTATTCAACAAGATGCGAGCCAGTTTGTGAACTGCACCAATATGCTTCCTCCTCCATCAGAACAACGTACAGTATGTAGCAACAACAGCACAACATTTAGGATTGCGAATTCAATGCCAGTTTACTTCGGTAATAACTACATATGTATCATACTGCTTTGTTTTAACATATCAAACATAATTTGGAAAGAAAAATATTAATATTACGCTATATTGCATTCCCCACAAAAACGGAAATGACACTTTGCATCCAACAAGGATAAAGGCAATAACCAAGGATCACAGGCAGGAACAGAAAAAAAGACTTGGACAAGTGAACTGTTGACACATCACTGTGCTCCTTATTTTGACGGCTAGCTATGATGGACAGTTGATTGGATGCATAAACAGTAATGTGTCCATACAATTCTTGCTGTACACGTAGAGCCATGGTAGTCATCATGTAAAATGGGCAGTGCAAGCAAATTAGTTCAATTACAGTTCTTCCAGCTCATTTTGAAACAGTCAGATGGAATCATCAGTCTAGGATTCAGCCAGTGAGCCTTTTTCAAGGGCTCACAAACAAGAATCGTGTCTTCGTCCAGGTACGTGCGGAAAAGAACATTTCCAGGCAATGTTACCCAGAATTTAAGTATTCCAGTGCTACTTCATAGCAGAATTTATATTGATCCTAAAAAAAGTGAAAGCAAGGAGATTACATTAATTTCATCAAAAAATGCAGGTTATTCTTTATATCAATATTTAAAGAAAAAATGCATTCAAGAAATGGCAGAACAGCTAAACAGACTGGCACAAACCAATTAATTCAGACGGGCCAAATGGCCTTCTCATGTCTTGTGCTTAGAGCCAAGATGTGGCTTGTGTCAAAAGAAATTAACTCCATCAACTGTGTCTAAATGTGCGTTTAGATTGTCTGAAAAACTGACAACATCCTGAACTATGGGCTCCATTTAAATGTACTCCAGTCAGTCAAATAAGGACTAAGCAGCTTTAAAAGACGTACCAGTAAGTCAACCATATTGGGCTTGTTGTTCCTCAGTGTTTTAACAGCATGGAAAACGTCGACTGAGTGCTGGTGCCGGAGCATTTCACAAACAATGCTAATTGCACAAAACGTCCCACTGCGGCCTCCCCCATTCCTGCACAAGACAGCACAAGAGAGGAAAATCAGCATTGTTTTTTTTACTTTAGAGAGAGTAAACAGTTTTATGAACCATTATGCACCATCCTGCGATAATGCATTGTCTGCTGTAGGACTGCTTGAGCATATTTTGACTGAGGAGGCTTCGTCAGGTGTGCAGCTCCCTTCTTGAACCTCTGTGACCGCTTTCCTTAAACACCAATCTTTAAACACCCTTAAGCCTGAAGGGATCTCTGTTCCTGCTGCAGTGGGAAATTATTTTATTCTTGTGGTATTTTTGCAAATACTTCTCCTATATGACCTCAAAAAGAGATGAGGAAATATTAGGAGTCAAAAAGATCTTATTGCTAACATCGCCCCATCTATGACTTTCCACAGTCTTGCTTTTTAAGCATTTGAGTGGTACTGTTCCAGCCTGTCTCTCTTCTCAGGAATCCTGATGCCCAGTATACTGTATGTTGAAGTAGAATAGCTAAACTGTTGCTAATTAAAAAGGAACAGAAACATTTTAAAAATATGATTAGTGTGTACAGTGGCAAGCAAAATACTTTAGCACTCATTTTACTTTAACCAGAATTTACACAACAATGACAAATGCCACTACAAACTTGGAGAGATTGGTTTTTGTAGCTGGTGAGCAGAGCGAGAGTGAGTTCCCAGTACTTTTTGGTTATTATATGTATATGTACAGCTTTTTAACAGCTTCTGCACATCACCTTTAACCAGTCATCAAACATGGCCGCAGAGACGAACATTTATATTAAGCAGTGATGTACAGTATATGGAAACACAGATGATCACAGCACACCAGTGAGGATTTCTACAGGTAGAAGACAGTGTTGAACTGATTTCAACACCTGTGTGTCTTATTTTTGGCATTAAGATTAAAAATCTTATCACTAGTTTCTATAATTCTTTAACAGATAAAATGCACTTGACATACAGTAGTGGCTTTTTTATAAATGCTGAAAGCAAACATTACTGAGATCTGAAATGAGATGTGGAATTGTCAATCATTTTTTACTACGTACCCATGCTATCTGGAGTGTCACGAGTTTAAGGCTATGGCTCCTGTTATATAAGGGGTGAGTGACTACCCTGTAGATTTTAACACACTGAAGGCTGCACAGCGCCTGACTGAAGAGCATCCTGCACTGAGCCACCTGCCGAGACACTGGCCCAGGAGACGCCGTTTCACCCTCAGAAGAGGTTCAGAAGACCCTCGATACGTACTGTCTACCCTATCCCAGCAGTTGCAATCCCACTGGCTAGTGAGCACAGGCAAGGGCAATACTCGGTATGTACAGTACAAAGAGTAAGACATTACTCAAACAACTGCAGGTGAAAAATTCCAGAAATGGCTTTATCTTCAAAGAAGAACAATAGCCATAGAAGCTGGTGGCGGGATACTGGTCGATGCCGTTACAAGAAGTTCAGTCTCCGTGTCCCCAGAAACACTTACAGGCAGTGCACCACGCTCCTCCCCTCTCCCCCGTCGTAGTCCTCCTGCCACTTCTCCACCTGGCGGATGAGCTTGAGGAAGGAGCGCTTGGACAGCGGGGTGTCTCTGTACATGGGCCAGCCCAGGAACTGGAACTGCTGCACCATCCGGTACCCATCCTGAGGCTACAGGGGCGACAGGCACACAGGGCATGGAGTCACGACACGGAGAGACCCTCCCAGCCAGCATCCACTATTCCACCCCATGCTGTACGCAATCCATTCACTTTGTACAGGACATGTACTGCAACATGAAGTGCAGATGTTGGAGTGACGGATTTTAATTTCGACGTGACACTGGAGCATAGCAGACCTCTTCTAACTGGAACGTACAGCATGTATAATACCTTGGTGCCAAAAATTACATTGAAAAAAATAATAATTTTAAACTAGCAGAAAACGTCCTGTTTATAACATTAAGAGATTTTCAGAGATCAGAGATTTTACTGAAATGCTACAGGCTACCACACTGGTACTGTATGTAGTTTGGTCCATTTATAAAACCGCTTCACATACAGGTGTAGGTCACAGTTTGATGTATTACATGTCTTTACAGCTACAGAGGTCGTTTTAGCTGACAAGAGATAATTCTCAGCAATAGTTATATACTGATCTCATGGCCCAGATTCTGAGCTTTCCCAGAAGTATTCAGGCAAAGGGTGAAAAAATTCGAAAATACTTAAGTATCAATATACGGCACTAAGGTCATTCATACATTTTTATAAAAAGAGCCTTACTCTTGCTGCATTGTAAATTCTGAATATTCTGCTAATGATATCTTCTTCAAGGTCCGCTGACACAAACTCCACCTGGATAGGTCCGTGTCTGTGAACCCCATTTTCAGGCCAGTACTGAGGACACAACTATCAAAAAAAACAAAAACAAACAACAAGCATAACATAAAAGTCTATAGTAATGAACAGTAAAAAATATTCCAAATTAAAAAAAGGATATATTGGCACAAGAATGCTTCCTGATTGTCACAATTACAGCAATTAAGATCCTTCGGGTAAGAGTAGAGATTACTATCATTGTAATCTTTTGAAATACGCAGAATTCTGAATTTCACTTTACATTGTACTGGAAACTTTATTTTTTTCAATATCTCTCCGAGATTAAAAGATCTTGATGCATCATGTTTTACAAGAAAAACATCTGCGTTTCTATGTAGTGGAAGGCATGATCAAACGTGGTAAAAAAAACTTTTTTTTATTTGTTCCTGTTTCCTATTGACTACAGTGTTGTTCAAACCCTAAGCTGCAGAAACCCTAAGCTTACAGAAGGAACTCTTGGGAAAATGCTTGCATCAGGGCCCCTTGATGTAAAGATAAAAAGTAAATCTTGCAGCCTCCTGTCCAGAGGCATTCATGGACATACAGAACACAGTATTATATACAGTACACACACATCCCATGTAGCACAGGTAATAAAAATACTTTATGAGATTAAATTATTATTAAAAACAATCATATTTAAAAGAGCATGAAAATAAAATTCTACTGAACTTCTGCGTCAGGTTAGTCTTCTGGTTACAATCAGAACTAATGGCTCCTATTATTGTGGAACAGCATTTTGACAACAAGGTCTGCCAGCCGTACTGATGCTGCTTCAATACAGCTTTAATGCACAGGCTTTCTGACAGCGCCCGAGGCCAGGGCACTCACAGTCACTTCCATGACTTTCCTTTCCTGACATGCTTGCTCATACCTGTGCTGGGTCCACATCATTCAGCATTACTATTGACGTACAGTGATAGTCCAAAACCAGCCTCCAGAAATCTTTCACCGTGTTTGGCAAAGGATGCTGGGTGACTATGAATGCAGAAGGTTGCTTATAGCTCTGCAAAACAAAAGGAAGTTGTTACAATGCTGCTCACTGCAGAACACATGGTCTGTTCCATGGCATTCATTGCTCCATCAGTAGTTAATTGTTTTTTTTTTCCCATTCCATTGAAAAAAAATGATGCTTTGTGTCACATCTTGCTATGATTTGTTCAATTACCACATATAATAAAAATGTTCCTTTCCAATTTTCACTTAGCACATCCTCAAACTTTTGTTCTATTGACTTCATTGCATAATCATTTCCAGAATCACTGAAATAAATGGGTACCAATACGATTCCTATTTTAAAACCATTTCATTAAAATAAACATGCAATTTATTTTTTCTAATAATACTCAGGAACAGTTATTAGAGAAAACATTTTCAATGCATAAACCACTGTTGTCCCCATGGTGTGCGAGAAACGCTGAATCTATGTAACTGATATGGCTGTCTTTGGTGGAAAAGAAGACGTCACTATAGAGAACACTGATAATTCACTGACCACAGTCTTCACCTCAGTAACAGATGGAGACGGGAAAAAAAAAACAGACTTATGGAACAAGTCTTTTTTATATAAATGAGCACATTTTCTGGCATTACTATTGTATACTCAATTTTGGTGACATATTTTTTTTACTTGTATAAGTACTCAAAAACTTCAAAAAAACACAACAAGGTCCATTATATTTAAGGATGATATGTAATGTCCGATGTTCAAAATAGAAAATAAGCTGTGGTTCCTGTGCACTGCACCTTGTTTAGTGCTGATCAACCATATCCAAATGTATTAACACTTCTGCCATTTAACTATCTATGATTTGCGTACTTCACAGCAGGGGTCCCTGTAGTGTGTTCTGTTTTTTTAAATTGGTTCATTTTTTTTTTAAAAAGGACAAATGTTTATGGTCCTGTTTGTGTCTGCTGTGGAAGTATGTCTGTGTATTTTTTTTGCTGATGTTGTACTTTGAATTAAATGTCTTATAAATCATCACTTACAAAGCACCTTCAAAATCATAACATAAATACTTAAAAAAACAGTAAAACAATCAGATTCACCCCAGCCTTAGACGAAATTCAACTCAAAAACTGAATTCAAAAACTTGAAAAGTCTAAACATTTTACATGCATGAGATTTCAGATTTCAGTGTCCGTGTGTTTTTGTATCTGTAAGCGATGTTAAGTTGACTTATAGTGTTGGTCCCTTAAAGGCAAATCAATTTCTCTTCAAACCTGCTATTGGGAAAAACATCTGACTCACACACTGCTTTCGCAGAAATCGGCCCTTTCACAGTTCGGTTTATTTTCCTGCGTCACCTGTTTTATTGCGCACAATGCTTTTTTCAGAGTGTATTAACCGCATTCTTTGAAAACATCATTCTTTGATACCTCTCTTTTGTTGCTATCTTATCAGAATCTCATAAATAAAAAAAAATACAACAAAAATGGTGCCAATGATGTTGTAAAGTGTACCGGTGCTTTTTGTGTATGTAAATAAGAATGTTTGCCTTGTGTGTAGCTCAAACATGAAAAATTGAATTCCACACGTGATCCGTTTGCATGAGTACCAGCGAAGGGTGCATAAAAGGGAAACTTACATCCATAAGCGCAGCGTTGATGTAGTTACTGCTTTCTCCGTCTATAGTAATAAGGAAAGGCAAACACCGGTCTGGAGGCAGGACATCCATACAGCGATTCTTCTCGTGATTGCGCGGCAGTAGAGCTATGCTGCAGTCCTCCACTCGTAAAGTGGGAGTCACCATATTTAGGGTCTAGAGAGGCAGGTGAGAAAAGCAGAATACAGAAATTCCGCTCCCGTTCTTCAACAACCTACACAAAGTATTCTGCAACAGTCTATCAGCAGTAGGATTGTGTTCCCTTATCCCAGGAATCTTGAGCATCCCAAACTGAGAGGGAGCACATTTCTGTTTCAACAGATGAGCTTTCACTAAGCAGGTTTCTAAGATTTTGCAAAGCTGTCACTGGTGGCTTATTCATATACAGTACCGTTCAAAAGGTTCCACTGCTGGAACACGCGCAAAATTCTTACAGGTGGTGCTATATACAGTATATCTCATAGATCAAATCTTTTTTTTTTACTAATGCTGTATCAATGATGTGTTTGCAGAAAACAATTTTAAGAACATCACGGCACACATTATCAAAACCTTAAAGGGTTTAATGGACAGCCCCCCCCCCCCCTCACACACACACACTTACTCTGAACTCTTCTTTAATCTGGCTGGAGTTGGTCTGCGGGTCAAGTCTGTTCATGTCGTAATACGCAGACCTGAGCTGAAGGGCTGGAATGGTGGTGTCTCCACAGAGACAGGCTTCCAAGATGGCATCATGGATGAACACGTACTGTTCCTGGGAAAGGACACACGGTTTAGCTACAGTACACTGCAAAACACAGAACATTGTTGCCGTATAATTACCATTATCAAATATAAAAAAAAAAATATAAATCCTAAATGCTGGTCCAGCATCTGGAACAGCTCCCAAGTCACTTCATGCATTTCCTAACCATAGAGGTGACACTGCCACCGATTTTCCTTGAAGCATCAGAGAATCAAACAGGGTACCTAAGCGTCAGGGCTTTCTTGTTCTCTTCAGTCTGAATTGTTTTTTCTTGGAGAGACAAGGGAGGAATTGCTTGATGAAAATATTTTATGATGTGACATTTTGAATAGCTCCCCCCCGTCACATTTAACAAAACTTGTCCGCCCAGGGGTCAGCAGTCTTTCAGGGTAGGAGCCTGTTACCAGGGACCTCCACTTGTCAGAAATACAGAGAATTGATCATTAACGTAACAGCCTCCCATAATCGATACAACAAAATCTACCTTTGTATTAAGACCGCTCTACACTCATCAACAGTATTAAGACCCGGCAAGATTAAGGAAACAGATATCGGTATAAGAATAAAAAATCCACTAGCCAGATAAGGGCAATGCTGGGGAAAAAACAAGTGACACTTCAGAGGTCAGTGAATCTGACAAACCAATATCTCGAGTAACGGCTAATGTTTCATGGCAAAATGCGATGTGACGTATTCAAAGCACACTGTATGTCTTCTCAAAAGTGACTTGATTAAAACATTTTAATATCAATATTTCATACTGGCAAAGCTTTAGGAAAAAGATTACATGCTGCATTAGCAGAGTTAATTAAATTAAAATTAAAGTGTCCACAAATGCAAATTATGTGCCACTTATTTACTATACTGTATATAGTTATACATTACTGTATATAGTTCTATTGACATGCTTTCTGCAAAGAGGCAGTTTAGTAGTTGTGAAACAGTGGGTTTACCTCTGTCTGCACCATGTTCACTCTTCGTGATCTCAGCTCGCGCACACAGTTGTAGATATCCACCACCCCTTCTCTTTCAGCCATGTCCAGCATGATGTCAATGACTATGAAGCACCCAGTTCTTCCTGCTCCAGCACTAAGATAGATGATAACACAAAAAAAACTACAGTCAGCAAGCATTCACCACTGGGTTTGTTTCAAGAAGCAAGAGTCACTTAGTCCTCTGTAGCACATGGGGACTAACAGGATTCAATGTCGTCAGAAATGTACTTAAACTCAGCTCTTAATTTTCAAAAACAAGCAAACATTGATATCCCTCCTGTAAGTAATGTAGAGTGTGCTCTAATCGGTAACACAGTCAACATGCATTTTAGCAGCAGAGCCAGCAGAATGAAATCACGTTGTCCTGCTATTTGTCTTGTAGAGTAGGGAGGCCCCAGCGAACTCAAACCCATTGATCCACTGCAGGAGGACTGCACTTTAGAATACACCTCTAATGGAAAATAAAACCATAAGAAATGTTACAAACAACAGGCGGCAATTTGGATTGCTAGTAGCTAAATGATTCGAGGATTTCATTCAGATATCTGTTGAAAGAAGCCAGGCTATCATCTTGCACGACACTGGTTGGTAGCTTGTAGCAGGCTGCCACTAAACTTTGTTTTTCATTGATGATTCCAAGGATGTGAACTGCACTGGCTCCATCGACAGTTTTAAGCTTTCTGAATACCTGACTCGCCCCCTATCTTAATCCTCTTTGTTGGAAGGATTCACAGTGGTCAGCCGGTCAGAGAAGGACATTCCGTTAACCCCAGGAATGTAACTGGTCATTCTTCTGTGGACTGATTCCAGAGCAAAATATATATTTTTGGAGTGTGGTGACCAAAAGTATACGCTATGATAAAAGAGGTTTTACACCATATAATTTCAACATACAGTAATACTTGATTAAAGTTCTACACTTATAACTACAGTACATAACACCACGTTCCTTTCCGATTGCTTTGTGATGAAAATGAAAGTTTCACTATAAACATGCAAGTCTTTTCCTTCAGTAGTTTCTTTGAGCTTAGCGTTTCCTCTTTTATATGCATAGTTTATGCCTCTGCTACCTGCATATGACACATGGCACTTGTCAACATTAAACATCATATGCCAGACATTTCCCAAGTCTTGAATTTCACCTAAATGATTATGAATTTCCTCTGCAGCTTCTAAAGAGCTTGCCAACCCTCTCTGGTATCATCTGGGATCCTGACTAGCTAATTAGTTATACCAGAATCTAGATTGCTGATATTACATTAGTAGTTTTCAGGAGAACGGAGCTGCTTTGAATCTGACTCAACAAGAGCTGTAGCACAAGCAGAAATGCAGCCTTTTACGTAAGGACCCAGCTGAACGTACAGGGAATGGAGATCTTTGTGCGAAATCCATGCAGACAAACTTTACAGAATGAAGAGAAGTGCTGAATGAAAGTGTGATGCAGTGATGCAGTGACACAACGTGAGCTCACCAAGCAAAGTCCCAGGGCTTCTTACTGTACAGCCAGAAAAGGACACCCTGGCTGACTTGCACTTAAACTGACCTGGCTGCACTCTGACATCAGTGCCTCTCTGCTTGGGGAATTCTGACTACAGTGGGCTAATGACTTGGCACCCACAGGTGTCTAGACTGTAAGGCTCAAATGAGAACCGTCACTGGCGAACTGCCAAAAACTCAAGTTTCCAAAACCATAAGAAGGAAAAACTGTACATTAGGTACCTGCAGTGTACAACCATGGGGCCTGCATTTGTTGGGTACTTATTCTTCACTCTGCGCACAAACCCAAGCAGGCCTGTGGCGTGGTAGGGAACGCCATGATCTGGCCAGCCGGTGAAGTGGTACTGCTTGATCTCTCGGATCTCGTGAATTCCCCTCTTCGTGAAAGATGGAAAAAAACACAGTTAGTGCACCGACGCCAGCTCTTGCAAAACACACCAATGATTCATTCTCTGGTTCGACAGAAAGGAGGTCTTTCTTGTGCACCTGAAACTCTTTTAAACTGCCATGCATCTCAACATCCATTAGTTCATGTATTCAATGACTACAACTTCTTAGGATTCATGAAATACAAATTAGCGACAGATACAGCAGAGGACAGACTATGCATAATTTGAAAGCTGGACAGAAAGTAGTAATTGTGCTTTGCATGGAGAAATTCAGTGACGGACTCACAGCTTCAAACGGAAAATTGCCCATGTTATTAGGAAGAGAATGAAGCCAAAGCAAACTGAGTAAACATTTTTAAACCTGCAGCAGTAGCTTGGCCAAGCAACTTTCAGGGGTGGGTCCAGTGGTCTTTTTGACAGTAAAGTGTCTCCGTCACTATACTGGGGCATCAGGACACACAGACCACAGGGTGAGCGCCCCTGCTGGCCCCACTAACACCTCTTCCAGCAGCAGCCTTAGCTTTCCCAGGAGTCTCCTATCCAGGTACTGGTCAGGCTCACACCTGCTGGGCTCCAGTGGGCTGCCAGTGGTGAGCTGTAGCTGCTGGGGACTTTTTTTGGTTCATGTTTCACTTTTGATTCTGCAGAAGTCCACAGGTAACACGAGTTAACTCTGTCAGTGCCTCAGAGGATTTTCAAATATCTGGATCGGGTCCCCTTGTCGTAAGTTTAAGACTAAAAAGGTTCAGTACAGGGAACTCAGGTTTTCCAACTATTTTTTAACTAGTTGTTCACAGTTTTGTAGTTCCACATCCTTAAAATGCATCATAAATGCAAATGTGTCATCTGATAAAGACTCCTTACAAAAAAGCAGCCTGATTTATTGGCATCCAGCAACTAGCAAGTGTACAAAGAATGGCCAGTCTGGTCACAAATGGCTCTGTTTGAAACACGGTCAGCTCTTGCGACAGACACACATCTGTGTTTGGTCGGGTTGCTGACTCTTCAAATGCAATACATTTTATGAGGAAAACACAGGAACAGATTTAGTTTGGCTAGGAACTGGGTTTATATTCTATTGGGACTGAGTGAAGTTTAGAAATAAATTTTAAGAGAGAGAGAACAACTTTCAGCTTTTATGCAGCATTCAAGTATAAATATGGAGTAAATTAATCCAGTTTCCTGTATTTTCCCAGGATTCACTGCTTTGCATCCGCGTCCCGCCCCAAATCCAGTCCCAGCTGGCTAGTGTCTGGCTCACTTCTTCCAGACAAAGAAAAAACATCCTATTTTTTCCCTTGCCCCTCCTCAAAACATTCTCTGGAAGGTGACCCATCTCCCTCTCCTCCCTCCTGAACATACAAAGCAAATGTGAGCTGCAAGTTGTGTTAAGGGACATAATTTTCACCCAGTATTCTGCTCTTGCTTACAGTACAAGATGCATATTGAAGAATTTATAGAGGTCTGGCTTTTGTTCAATCACAAGCTTACCTTTTCCACTGCAAATGTCCTTATGACATATTCGGATAGCAGCTGTGTCTCTATCAGTGTCACTTTCAGGTCTCTGTAAATCTCTGTATCATCAGGCCAGTACTTACAACACTTCACCTGCAGAAAGAAACAAGACCAACCGGAAGTGATAAAATCTAAAGATTTTTCATGCTTTTTTTTATCAAAAATGTATCTTTTCAGAAACAAAACTGCATGGTAGCTACTGTAGTTTCATCCATGCTGAACTTCTGAAATTCTCTGCCACAGCAGAAGCTGGTACTGTTTCATTATAATATTTTATTAAATAAATCCATTACATATCTTTAATATGTTCCAGTCTTTTAAAAAAAAGTTATCATGGCCATATTTTTAAAAGTTAAAAACACTAGAATAATCACAGGAAGAAACACAGATGTCTTCCAAACAAGCACAGATCAAACCCTGGTATCACAAGCCTAGGCTGAAAAAAAGATTAGGAAAACCTTGAATTAATAGGACCTGAGTTTTGCGAAGGTCAAAGAAACTTCTTAATTTTTTATAATTTAATGTAATGCTGTGAGTCGATTTGTCAACTCATTACCCTCTTGCTATGGATCTCATTAAGAGGTTGCGACGCTACAGAAAAGACCACGTCCAAGATTAAGGCTGTCTTACTGTATTGTCCACCATCTTTTACAATCCTATCCAGTATAAAAGGTTGATATATTTACATGGAAAACGTTTTTAAAAAGTCCTTGGTCAAATTAAAAGCTTCTTGCTTTTAACATACAGTTCTTCTCTAAACTCTAAAATCTAAACTATCAGACATGACCAACCGGCAGAAAATACCAACATGTTTTTAAATGATCTTCATGAATTTACCGACAGTATCAATCCTTACATTCTTACCTTAACATGACCTTTTTCATTTTTCATATCCTACCCCTTCCTGAGGTGCTGATCAATCTGTCTCTACTAGTTCGCCTGTCAGCTCTGCCCTGGAATTTCCTTCCTCACTAATTCTGTCCTCCCCTGTGCTGGTTTCTACGTGTGGGTAATTCCTCTCTCGCCTTTGCATTTCCACAGGCCCTGTCAATGTTTTTTGCATGTGGGTCAAAGCATGCAATCAGAGCAGTGAACTTTGCAATCCACATTTCCAGCCTCCTTACTGGCCAAGCCGATACCTGTATTATCATTTTGTTTTAAGACTGTATGGTACATCGAACCTATCCGTACCACCATAATAGAAAGATACAATGACGTTTTTTAAAAGTATAAAAGCTTTTTATACAGTAAACAGTCCACACATTATAATTGTACAAAGTATCCAGTATATCATCACTGAACTTGTAAACTCTAACCCTTAAAAGCAAAATTGTTGTTTCAGTTACCCTTTTTCCCAGCTAACGATCAACTGATTCAACAGTGTCAAGCAAAAACACAAAACAAAATGAGGTTACGTTTTACTGTAGTTATAATCTCTTTAGCTTCCTGAGATGGTCTAGATTAATGTGTTTCTTTTCCCCCACTGATCCCCATATTCTTTCAGAACCTGAATCTGGACTGTGTTATCCAGCCCCAGGCAAATCAAATATAGTGACAACTGCAGAAACAGCCACAGCACATCCACTTATCTGCTGCTAACTTAAGTGTGACTCACATTAGACAGGTGTGTGCTTTTACTGCTGAAAAACACGAGTCATAACAATAAAAGCTTTGGAGACTAAGAATGCAAATGCGATGATCACTAGTGGAGGATTTATCATTTATAGTAAGTGGAAGCAGTAATATTGGTTCTATGCTTTAATTAATGTGCTAAATAATTTAACTGCATTTTTAAATCCATTAAGTTTCATATTTGCAACCCATTTCACAGTTTCATTACCCTCTTCCGTCTCACTATAGACGAGTAGTTTTTTGACAAAGCAACAGAGTATCCAGATAATACAAGCTTGCTGTTAGGATATCCATTTCTGTTTCTTGTAAGTATGAACCCAGCACAGGTATTATGGTGGAGATGCATTTAAAAATATTGTACAATATAAGACAGGCGGCTGCACTGCCACCTTCTGGTGAATCATGTCACATCTCGGAGGTTAATGGTCATATTTGGATAGAAGACCTCGGAGGAACCATAATTTCCATAACCGAGACTCTAGTATGGTTCCCAGGGATAATGTGCTGTAGAAGGAACTGTCCATCAGATGATACACTGTAGTGTTCACTACTTGGTTATTGAAGATCCCTGCTCGTGAGAGTAGGGGTATTGATTCTGCTGTCCCAGATGTGTATATTCTGGCTTTCCTACAAACCGTTCCCATGTAATAATTCAGCTGGTTGAACACAGAACAAGCTGGCTGATCTCCTGATCTTTGGGGGGCCCGCTGGCTGATGATAGCTACTGTGCATCACCAGGATGGGTGCTGCACTGCAGTGGTAGATGAGAAGGATCTCTTCCTATGTATAAATAGCTTTGGTGTTCGAGGGATGAAAAGTGCAATATAAATGAAGAATTAATAGTCATTAAATTATTCATGGAATTTATGGTAAGTCCATCTGCTTCTGTGCTTTGATTTTGGTTTCTTTTCCATGTATACAAAAAAAACAGCTCTAAATAAATTTCTCACTGTTGTACTGTAACTATCACATTGGAGCCATGTGGCTTGGGAGGAACTTTATCATTAATTTCGCATCTTCCTATTATGCCTGGTTCTTCCCCGAGGGTCTGTGAAGTGTGGGGCTTTTGAATTCCATTAACGTCCCAAAAGAACTTTCCCTCAAAAGCTCAGAAACTTGTCCTCATTCTTAACTTATACAGGAGAGGGTCCATGAGGCACAATGATGATCTTGGGCACTTGTGACCAAATGTAATGTGCTGGTGTAAACGTGAAATCTAAGATTTCTAAAGCTGCAACATTCAGCTAGAAAAAGATAAAGAAATACATTACACAGTAAATTTGTACTGAGAATTAGCCAGCCTGATAAGTTGGAATTTTCTTCTCTCTAAGGATTATTTCATTGCTACAGATTACTGTAACACTAAGCTCATTAAAAGAAATAGCTTGCTTCCCTTTATAATTAACAGTCTAAATATGTGAAGAGTCCTAAATAAAAAAAAACATTTTAGCAGAATGATACGTTATAGTAAGCTGTTATGTTCCCATACTGTATTTTGGTTTATACTTGACAACTTTTAATTCAAATTTTAAATCTGGCTTCTATAAAATGAGTTTTCAGTATCACGCGACAATGCCTATAAACATTGAAGTCAAAATGTCTACTGCAAGAGTAACACTAGGACACAAAAAAATAATTTGCTATTTGATTAGTGAAATACTCTTTACCCTGTCGATCATCACAAACCACACATTCTATTTAACTATTGCCTACCTTCTGTACTTGAAATTCTGCGCAAGATTCTTAAGACTGTCGTTCTTACAATAATGATAAATAATTAACTCGTTAGGAAAACATTTGCTAAAACAGTACAAAAACGTCCTTCGGGAAATCCCCAGGGTTTGTTTTGTTCTGCAGAAAACTGTGGCAGATGGATCAGTGTGAGTGAGTCTGTAATCCCCACAAACCACGGCGATGTGACCAGCCGTGCAACAGGCTGCCTGCTCAAATTTAGGCGAGATCTCGAGTGGATTCATTAAAGGCAGAGAACCGTCCAAAACAGGCCTTCCTGGCAGCTACGCGGCTGGTGTGGAAGGGTAGGTGGGGCCGTGGGAGACGGGCCCAGGCCTCTGGGCTGCCTGGACTGCTGATTAAAGGCAGCAGCACTTGGGAAGTGACAGGTGGTGCTGAGATGAAGGGCTTCCAGAGATAAGAATTTCCCTGTCATCCTGCTGCAGGTGCACTCCTACAAGCTCAGGCCTCCCCTCCTTCTAATTAAAAAAACCCGAAGTGAACCAATTAAAATAACAAACGTGCCACCGGTGCTTCTAATGACAGCATCACCAGGCAACAACAAAGACGCCACTGATAATAATGCACAGAATGATGTGGTCTACTCTACTTTTAAAATAAACCTTTGTAATTCTTACTTTGCTTTTTAAATAACTGTCAAGTAGTATATGTAAAAAACGTGTTGATTGTAAACTATTGCAAACTGTATGATTGTGAAATGCTCATTTAGAAGGATGTTTGAGCCAGACCTCATCATAACAGTTCAATTAAAACCTGTAATGGCATAATATACTGCATAATAATAAACAATTCCACAAATGGATGAACAAATGCTTGGAGTATCTCTTGGGATAAAACTAATGTTTTTGAGTGCATTTCAAAAGTTAGCTCCTCTTACAATCAAAATTTGCTTGGGTCTCAAACATTGTAACATTTCATGCAATAATGAAAAGAAAAAGCACTTCATACAGATACAGTATATTCTACATTTTTACACACATTCAAATAACCATGTGTGTATCGTAATACAGACACCAAGTAAAGGGTTAAATAAGATCCTCTCTTAAGCTATATAGAGCCTCTGGTATCTTGCTGCAGAAAATCCATAATTGTGACAAAATTAATTTGCAGTTGAAGACCATTTGATTTGCTGTATTTGTAGCTCATGTGTCTTCTCTCCATCATATAACCCTGGAAGCTGCCACCAATTTGTCTTATGCGGCTTTCAGTTTTGCACGTTGTGCGATACCTACCCTTCCAACTTCCACCAAATTTGTCACCATGATAATAACGGCTGTGTTCTCCTGCCACACCATCCTCCAGAAGTCATACACTGTCTCTTGCATGGGCCCTGTTGAGATAAAAAGGAGAAAGCTGGAGCTAGTTAAAAAGAAAGGCACCATTCATTCAGTTTTTTTTAGCACTACCTTCTATTCTTCCTGTTCAAATCACAAAATGAAAAACTTCAATCACTGAGAAGAAAGGACAGGGGCTTCTGATAGCTGACAGCAGAGAACTGTCTCCCCTGTTGAACAGGCTGCTCATAACCAAATGCAGACATGAGGCACAGTCAACCTGTGCTAGTAAAACCTTCATAAAAAAAACTCAGTTTTGGGAAGTCAAGGATGACTTTTTCCTTCTATTTTCATTTAATTTCAAGCGTAGAAAACACTACAAATGTACAGATCTTTGTATTTAATTAGATATAGATGCGTGTGAATGAAACACCCTAAAGAAAAGTCATTAAGGTCCTTCTATAGTCCATTCTGATGACCCTTAACCTTACTAAACTGGTATTTCTTAAAGAATCTTCACATTATTTCCCTTGCGCTGCAAAAAGAACCACATCTTGTTGCAGGTGATTATTTATCATAACATACAGTATATAAAAAATTATTCACAGCTTGGCATCTTCACATTTCTGAATTTGCAATAATAGTGCATTTCCACGAGCCTTGAGGGCGACAGAAAGCGGCAGAAAGTACGTCTTAGGATTTATATCTGAATCTTGTGAACTATAGCTGGGAGTGTAATTTTGGAGTAATTCTAAAAATGGCCAAAGCACAGTATTTAAAAGAAGGGTGGAAATGAACAAATTGGGTCCCTCTTGTTTCATTTTTAGTCATGCAGTTTTCTGTGTAGCTTAGCAATAACTTTATACAGGATTGATGGGAATAAAATTATGAATATAATTAAATCCAATTAGCATTGTTTTTAATCAACGAGCATAATCTGAAATTACATTTGACAAACTAATTAGAGTATGCAAATCTCAGTGCATCCTTGAGAGGTAATACACATTACCTTCAGCTACTACAAATTATATCCAACAACAACTCAACAAGCTTACATATTCATGCTCACACAAACAGCTTATTATCCAGTACTTGTATGGTAAAATTTGGGATCTTACTGCCATAAAATTGCTTTCATGTCTCCTACTTGTGTAAGCAAGCAATTTTCTCATTACTGTATTCAATTTCCTCATTGGATGCACAGCAGTCAACCTATAATAAGTACCCTGCATGGGGAAAAATCTTATATCTTATATCTTTCTTAGCTTTAGCCTCCAATATGATACATTTTTAACCCTGGGTCCTAGTTTATGACCTTTTCATGCTCCGATTCTAATTGATTTTTAAAGTACTCTTACAGAATCTGAAAAGCAGACAAACAGATAAAAGAGGTGAAAGGAAAGGATTTAGTTTCTCAAGCCTTATCTTTTTCTCTTGGCACTCACAGCGTAACAGGGAAGGAGATTTAAATAATTTAAATAACATTTATACAGTAACATAATACAAGTCACATGGTATCAAATGTGTTCTGAGGCAAACGGTGTTGGGAAAAAAAAAGTATTAAAAAGGTTCCACTTCACTGACTTGATTCTAAACCCTTCACACACAAAGATTATTCCTCAGGATAGTTACCAAATTTAGGAAGTTTACATGATATCAACACAAATGGCTCCATTTAATTTCCTTTGCCTGGTCATGTCACAGGCAAATCCTTCATTGACAAATCATTCAAAAAATAAGGCACAAACCAAATTTCAACACACAAAGCAAAAATGTCTTGATTATCAAGACTGAAAACCTTTAGTTTGAGAACAGAGTACTCCCATTAGATACATTTAGATGCCTACCACATTTGAACTGAACTGAAAGCAGGCAGGTTTAGGCCTCAGCTGTGGTCCCAGTTAAATGTCATGAAATGCTGCCTCTCCTGTATGGCTTTCAGTGAATATAACACAGGAACACGCATCTTCGATGGAGCATTTCAGCAGCTTCTCGTAACTCATTTTTTGCAAAACGTTTTTGAACTTCAATGTCACAGTTACGCTGACAAGTGGATCAGGGCAGCGTCAGCTGTTCTGCGGGCACTGTACCCGTCTGTGGGGGTGAAATGGGAGCTGAGATTGAAGACAAAGCTCTCGGTTGGCCAGTCGATCTACGTCCCTGTCCTCGCCTAGGGTCACGAGCTGTGGGGAATGACGGATACGAGTGGAAGAAATGAGGTTTCTTCCCAGGGCCGCCAGGCTGACTCTCCGTGACAGGGCGAGGAGCTCGGCAATCTGAGAGAGCCTCAGAGCAGAGTCGCTGCTCCTCCAGATCGAGAGGAGGCGACTGCGGTGGTTTGGGCGTCTCGTTAGGATGCCCCCCGGTCACTTCCGCTGGAGCTGTTCCGGGCACATCCCACTGGGCGGAGACCCCGTGGCTGACCCAGGACACGCTGGAGGGACTGTATCTGTCGGCTGGCTTGGGAGCGCCTGGAATCTGGTCGGGGCTGATCTACTCGGCCTGCGGAAACCGCGACCCTCACCAGGGCAAGCGGAGTGAAGACGGGTGGGTGGATGGATGTCCCAGTTTGTTTTCTTACTGCTTGTTCAGGGATGCCACATGCAACAATTTCCCCTTAATTAATATTTTATGTTTAACCCATCACAGTTTTATAATTCACTATATTAAATGACAAACATTTGCAAAAAGTGGGTGATATTTTGCACTCAAGCCACCTATAATTGGTGATTTGCATTAATCCTACCTAGGGCAGAAATACATACACCTTTTATTCTGTATCATGAAATCTCTAGGAATAAGTTTACAAAACACAAAACTTCATACCTAAGCAGTTTTGCGCTTTAAATTGTTTCCATCCCCTTTAAAGCACAGCAACTGAAAATATGCCAAAGTAATATTTCTAAATTGGACATCTCACTTTTATGACATTTATATTGCAGAGAAACATTTTAAATCAGGTTGTTAAAATCTGTGTCCAGGAGATGGTATTATGAAGACAACCCCAGATTTCACCAAAGATGGAAACATAATGTGCAAACTGAAAAACAGTGTTGTGAATTTCAGTGTATAAACATGAGAACACCCGTTTAGACTGTTACAAAAAAAATCAAACAAAAGCAATGATAGTACAGGATTCCTGCATTATTAAACTGGTCAGCCCCACTGTTCCTCTGAATACACAGTGTCAAATCCTCCTTGAAGCTGTGGTCACCATAATGCCAGCAGTTGATAATACTTCTCGAACTTTTTTGGGGGGTTCTGTTACTCCAAGTTGAAGATGATTACAAAACTTTTGACACATTAGGATTAAAGATGTAATGCTCCTGTCATGAAGTAAATGCCATTGCATTTATCATCAGAATGATATCACTTTTATTTAGGATATTGTGCATGGTGTTGCAAACAGACTGATACCCAAAATTACAGAACTGCCTGCAGCCCTTGACTCTTTGATCTCCAAGACTGCCAGCTTGTTAATGCAGCATTTGTTTACTGTGAAGTACTTGTTTGAAAGCTGTTGATCACTAATTGCAAACAACTTGAAAAAGAAACTTGCTTTATGCCATTCTGGTTTATGGTCTACCTAACAATGAATTTTCATTATTGCACTTCTTTTAACTTCTCTAGGGACCACTCAAGAGCCAGATTTATTATTTCAAAACCAAAGTAGAAAATAATTTGGGTCAGGTATTAGAGGTGAAGATCAGGTCCCATATGTTAGTGCTGGTAGCAGAAGTGTGACCACTCAGTGGGGGATTTAAAACAGGACGGGTACAGGAGAAAGATGGCAACGCTCTGATAAACAGGTAATTATGTAACTCCCAGGTTTACAAAACCAGATTGCAAGTCTATTACAAACTGATTACATTTTCCCCTTTTTTGCCGCATACAATTACCTTCGCACATCACTTCCTAATGTGTGGAAGCTGCTCAGTAAGAATTTCCCAACAATTAACTATCAATCAGCATTATCCCTGAGGGATTCGGAACGGATTCTCACATCGCATCTGTCAGCAGGATTAACCAAGTAACAAAGTGCTCTGGAACGTACTGCTAATCCATTTATTTACCATTCTTGCTCGCAAGTACTGATAAAACATTACAACATGCCACTTCAGCACAAAGCATCATCAACAGTGGGGCCAAAAGAGGCACTTTTTGGGGTATGATAAACACTGGGGGTTTTTGTGCAAGTGTCATAGCCTAAGCAGTACACAAGACAAAAAAATTTAATTTCAGCACAGGCAGCTGAGGATAAGGTCTAATTCTATTTTGTAATATATTATTGGGATAAGGTAATGTACAATTATCAATCTGTCATGTAAAGCACAGATTTACAGTACATCTACAGACCTTTGGTAAAACCTACCATATGATAAGAGTTTTAAGATCAGCTGTAAGTAATCGGGGTGGGCCTTACCTTGTGTAGCAATATAGTGGTTTGGCCTGTGGTAGCCCTGTAAGGAAAGAGGAAGAGAGAAAGATAATTCAGAAAAAATAAAGATGTACTGTATTAGCTGCTGCTGCTGTTGGGTGAATAGATATGGATATTAAAGCACGAGCACGTGTTTCCAGAGCACAAGTCACTGTTATTACAGCACAGGACTTTACTGACGGTGGCGTGGTGATGTGGCGATGAGGACCGCAGCCACACAGACCCAGGATCCTGCACTCGACTCCTGCCACCTGCACCTTGTTCGTGTGGAGTCTGCGTGCTCTCCCTGTGGTTGCGTGGGTTTCCACTGGGTCATGCAGCTTCCTCCCAGAGACACTCTGGCTAGCTAGGATTGGATATTCTACACTGCTCTCCCTCCCCGACCTTGTGATGGGCTGGCCTCCCATCTGGGGACAGCATGCTCTCGGTTCTGCCTTGTACACTATGCTTTCGGGAAAGCCTCAGGCTTGCCGTGACTCTCGATATCCCAGCTGCATTCACTTGCAGTTTAGCTCGGGTGCTGACTGAGCAAAAGAAACAGGAGGGGGCCCCCGGAGTGTCAGATCCAGTACAGAAGTGAAGTCAGGGCCCCGCAGCCCGGAGTTTGCCAGCTCGGGGCTGGTCTGTGCTACTATCTGGTGTAGGAGACTGGTCAAAAGCTGCCTACACTTTGTAGGATAAGAGCAGCAAGGAAATCTTAGCATTAGGGTGTAAGGATGTGTGTTACCATAAATGATCCTCTTGGGTACACAACAAATCATAAAGGCTTGAGACATCGTTAATCATCAGTCAAGGTGCAACCCTCCCCTATTTGGCACCAAAGCCCTGGTCTTTACGTCTCAACTTTGGGCTAAAAAATAAACGAAAACAATGCTACAATGATTGAATGTTCATACGGTATGTCCTGTTATACACGTCAGACCTTTCCACCATAAAATAACATTGAAAACAAAAAAGTAGAAACATTTCCCTCGATGAACTGGCTGAAACTATATTTTAGAAAATTCAGGTAAATTAATGGATATTGGGCTCTATAACCCATTTTTGTATATTGCAAAAAGGAAACATTCCCATACGATGGATACCTTCCGAGATGCAGTATATACAGCTTATCAATGCAACAGCCTAAATCTCTCAGGGATTACGTAAATCCCTTCAAATTTTATTTGTCAAATGTCTTGTATTCTTATGAGAGTAATATGCAAAGAAATGAAGCATTAAGAATTAATGCAATTCCCCTCCGTGCATCTAAACAATTGTCTTTGTCTCTTCACTCATGTCTCTCTCTACCATATTTAATTTAACTCAACTATAATTAATGTTTCCAAAATGGGAAAAAAAGGACAACCGCATAGGAAACTTCGCCTTTTAGGTCTCCGGGGTTTTAAAGCTATTGAATTATATTCTGTATTTTTAATTGCTTCTTTATCTGGCTGGTTCACATATGCATGCGCCCGTGCTTTACGGTACGCTCTAATCAAGCAATTCACAGAAATAATGTGCCAGTGGATTCATGGCGACGGCTTTGGCCACAGCCTCCTGTGCAACTGTATATCAAGAAAAGCACCTCTAACAGAATATCTCGAGTTAAGGTATGCATACAGTGTTAAAGCACCCGCACCCCAAAGTGAAACGCAAATTAAAACAAGTGTGGACTTGCACATCAACGTCTCCACGTCTCCAACTTCTGTGCTGGAATGCTCATTGGTACATTACAGCATACATTTATTGAGACTCAACATCAGAAAACCCTCTGAACAAAAAAGGCCATTAAAAATATTACCAGTACAGCTGAACCTCCAAGGAGGTTTCTGTAAAAAGCCCGTGTACTGTATGTTTTTTAGGATTGCAAATTGTGTGCTCACTCCCTCTCCTCCAACATTGTTGGAAACAATGTTCAATAGAAACGTGCTACCAGTGGCACACTTCAAGCATTTCAATAAGGCTTAAATCAAGCAAGAGCACTCTAAACAGTGGTGGAGCTCCCAAGCCAAATATACTGGAATTTAAAGGCATATTGTGGTCCAGACATTTCATGGAAAAGGAAATGAAAAGTGACTAGATGGACACAAAGTAACAGGAGACTGCTTTGTAATGATGTTTAACCAGCTTTCTAATAGCTAAAATGTAATATCCAAAAACATTCACCATAAATGATGTTTATAATCTAAGAACTATCAATACATCCAAGGTTAAAGAGTTCACACCTAAGACAGCTACAAAGATCAAAAGCATCTTTAGAAAACCATCTAATATATTGGACAAGGGGAATATTACTCTAAGGCACTTTTGAGTATTGGGATTAGCAACAAAACACTTCTACAGTACCAGTTCTTTCTTTGCTCATGCATGTCTTTAGTGTGTTATGAATTAAATTATATATATAAAACATTACACTTAAGTAATGCCTTTTTGAATGTTATACACAGTAAGCTATGCAAACTTTAATTTGTAAGCTTAGTTAGCTGTGTTCCTATTGCGGTGCTTATTATTTTTCAGCCTTCAAAGAAATAAATAGCATTAATTGGTGATTTTACAAGAAACTATTAATCCATCACCGTGAAGAAAATAATTTCCATTACTATTAATTCGACTCTACTGTACATCACCATCACCCTTGAAATCACCTGGACAAGTTAGACTCTTTTGTCTGTCTTGCCCCGTTCTTTAATGACAATATTTGTCATCGATACACTGAGGAGTGGTTTGAAAATAAAACTGCAAATCCACAAATCACCAGGCTTAAAATGTAACAACTGCTATTCAAAAACGAAACATCGGAATCTTTTAAAATGAGAAGTAAAGAGGGCTACAGAAGCTATCCTGAACAGGAGGGGTGAACATACAGTATGTGGAACCCAGTGCTGTGGCCTGTCGTTGGGTAACATTTTGAACTACTCATTCTGTATACATTTACTTTTTCACACTTGGATAAAACATACTACTTTAGACATTTCTAAAACCTTGTAAGTCAATCAAAAGCAAAATATTGTAGTCCACATTTCAAACCCCTGAGAAAACCAAAAGAATATAGACAGAAATTTTGTATCCACTAAAAGATTCTCACATTCCAATTTCTTGGCATCTAAATCAATACGACCATTCCCTTACACAGCTCCTGGGTTTTATTACAAATCATTTCAGGTCAAAAAAATCATCTGAAGCCTGTGGTGGTGAGGTCTCATGTTTCCGGGTTATTTCTATGCACAGTAGGTACCACGATTAAAATGCTGAGACAGTGTTTAGAATGAAATGTAAAGATTACAATACATTTAATTGTGGGTTGTATTAACAGTTCATTTAGAAAGGCTGCAACAAAGCACAAAAGAAAATCTGAGACTACACAAAATACTAATGAATTATTATGACTTTAGTACTGTCACAACGCCTGCAGAAAAGCAGGCAACAGAGATCAAAACAATTTTCTGTCAGGTTAAAGACTCTTTAATATGCATGTCTTCTTATCTAGCAGCATGCCCTACCTTTTTGAGAAGTGTTGAAACATAAAGCTCTCTGAACATAATGTGCAATATAGCAAAAGGCTGGTGTAAATAATTAACGGCTTCCATTTGTTAGGAAATGTCCCACCTGCATTATACATTCACACACTACTTTGAAGACAACTGTAAAGTCTGGTAATGACAAGTGATTGCAAATCACTGCATTAGGAAAAAGAGTGTTGTGCACATAAATATGCAAACAGCTTGCCTGCAAATGTGGCATCATGCCAGGCTGTTGTCAGAAAATGAAAATAACATTTACTTTGTCAACATTAGCAGTGGGAGGTGGAGAATCAGCTCAACACTGCACAGCAAGCTTTCCCACATTGCAGAGTTAGCCATTAGTGAATTAACACCAGCAAAACCAGGGAACCATTAATGATACCTGTTTATACAGGGCCAAAATCAAACTGCCTTTCCAACATACTGTACCAAGACCTGCTTACTTTGCTGTACATCAAGGAAGCCACAAGGGATTGTTACATGTAATGCATGCTTTTTTTTGGAAGTTTCCTATTGGGTTACATTAATCACATCTACAAGAGATGGAATCCACAGTATTGTCCTTCTATGTCTATTCTTAATGGCTAAAAATAATTCTGGCTACATTCTCAATGATGCTCTTCCTCGAATAAAGCTGCAGTAGAGGTTATACACATTGTTACCTTCTTAGCATACATTTCTATTTTCAAAAATAGAATATAGTATAGTCTTGAGACTGGTTCTCTGAATGACCATGAATGCTATTCTAATGCAAATGATAACCACTGTCAACATGTATGAGAAACCATTTAATATTTAATAAAATTAAATTTGGGGCTATTCTAGCACAAAAGACACCTACACATCCTGGTATGATTATCTTCCTCTACTTGAGTAATTGCATGACCATATTTGTGCATGTGATGAGACAGGATTTCTACTCCCAATCAAGTGCAAGACTGACGTGCATTTTCACACTACTATGATGTCAATTTTTTTGTTGCATCATTGAGTAGAAAACAAAAATCATGAATCGTGGAGCACAAAAAATACATGATCTACCGGGACAGCTTGGCAATTACATTTTACATACTGTAGGTGACATTTTGCAGGAAAGTCTTGATTTTTCTCCAGCACTCTGTTTGATTTGCATTTACAGTATATCTGAAAACCCCCTATGGGGTTAATCACCCTGTGGGTATATCACCCTGCAGCTCACCACTGGCAGCCCACTGCTAAGCAGGTGTGAGCCTGGTCAGTACCTGGAGGGGAGACCTCCTGGGAAAGCTGAGGTTGCTGCTGGAAGAGGTGTTAGTGGGGCCAGAAGGGGGCGCTCACCCTGCATTTTATGTGTGTCATAATGTCTCCGTATAGTGATGGGGACACTATACTGTAAAAGGCGCCGTCCTTTGGATGAGACGTTAAACTGAGGTCCTGACTCTCTGTGGCAAAAATCCCAGGGCACTTCTCGAAAAGAGAAGGGGTGTAACCCCTGTGTCCTGGCCAAATTTCCCATTGGCCCTTACCACTCATGGCCTCCTAATAATCCCCATCTATGAAGTGGCCTCATAGATACTAGGCCTCATAGGCCTCAGTAGAGAGTTCTCCTCTCCACTGAGAGCTGGTGTGTGGCGAGTGTACTGGAGCACTATGGTTGTCGTCACAACCTCCAGGTGGGGCTGCACGGTGGTGGTGGTGGTGGAGGGGATCCCCATTACCTGTAAGGAGCTTTGAGTGGAGTGTCCAGAAAAGTGCTATACAATTGTAAGCAATTATTATTATAAAGATATGTTAATTTTACACCGATGCATGAATGCACTGTGCATCATTTTGAGATGGTACAGGAGTATGATTTATTGTGGAGCATCCCTCCATCAGGACACTAAATAGACAACAGTATAGAAGGGAAACAGGCATTCCCATATACTGCATCACAAATATCATCCTGCAATGGGCAACACATAGGTAACCAGTGGTCACCACCAGAAAAGTACCAGAAATGTGTGAAAAATATTAGTTTCCTGACAATTGTCTTGGTATTGTGTCTATTGTGACAAATATATTTCTATCTGAAGTGGTGTTTTTAACTGTGGACATTTACAGTAGGATGAAAATGAAATGTCCTTCACCGGAAAATACTGTCATTGTTATCCAAGGGACTTGTCCTATAGGTATAACCTAACAGCTTTTTTTTTTTTGCTCTGACTTATTTGCTTAAATATAAGGATGTTTTACATGCAAAACACCAAAAGAGGTATAAGGACCTTTCATGAGAATGCATACTCAGTGCTACACTGTTATTTTGCATACATTTACTATGAAGAAACCTGACAATTATCTCCAAGGGTTTAAAACAACTTGGGTTTGCACATTTTGTTGAAAAAACAAAAACTATTTCGGTTTTTCCTTCATGAGACTGATATATATTTTTTGCTTGCCACAATTCCTTCTTCAGACGAATCCATGCTGAAACATGGTTACTTTATTATATTTTGTTTGTACCACAACACTGAATGCATATCATTAATATAATTGCGTCAAGTCTCCTGAGAGCTCATTTAGTTATTCAAAATTGAAAGGGAAAGAAAACTAAGCTTGCTATACAAGGGCACAGATGATAGCTGGGGCTCCACGATGGCCCTGAATTTTTCCAAATCTTTTCCCGACAGCTGCCTGAATTGTACACTTGCAGAAATAATTCAGCTAATTCTGAATCACTGGCAACATTTTAGAGGATGACGCATTAGAGGATACATTGTTAAACACTGTGCAAAACGACTCGGATTCCACCCTCATCTCCATGCTGTTTTACTGCTCTAAAAACACTGCAAGATGACAGCTGAACCCAAGCGCCCATTCAAAGCACTATACAGATGCAGCGCACAGATGATGATGTTTACTAATGAGAGATTGTTTGGGTCTGAGTGTTCTTGCTAAAGTGCTGTCCGTTTATGGCTGGGGAGGTTCACAACGAGACTTGCCTGGCTGACTTGCCCTTTTTGAGCAATAGTATTTTCTGAAGGATACTCTGACACTACAGGAAAGTCTTTAGGAAGCTCCTCTGTTTAAAGGAAGGATTTGAATATGTGAAATAAGACGTATTTATGCCACCTCCCCAGTAGTGTGGAAACGCATGTGACCTTTAAGACAGAAACCCGGCTGGCGCATGCTTACATCAACATAATTCGCATTAATGTAATCGGAATTTTGTTCTCCCTCCAGGGGCTGGAGCCTGACACGAGAATGATCATCTGAAAGAGAAAGAAGAAAAAAAACATGTTCTAAATTAATGATCTTGCTAAAAAAAGGCATCTTAATGTCACTGCAAAATGCTTTGCGATTTCACATTTCTGAAGGTGGTGTGACCTCACGCATTTGTAATGTAAGCAGCACAGTATTTTGAAAATATCTTGATCGTTGAGAATCCAACAGGGAAGGACATTGCATACTTCCTTACAACATACATGCACTTCTGCTGACAGCTGATGTTTACAAAATAAAGACAGTCTGCATGAACACTGCATCAAATCTTGCCCTTACATTTTTATATACTACATTTCCAGTTTGAAGAATGCAAAGCATGTTTATTATATAATGAAAAAATAAAACCTTTAAAAGGAATTTAAAAACACCTATAATGCTTTGACAAAACAACACCTTTAATGATCAGGTCAGTAATCATAATGTACTGTCTGCTAATATCTCACTTACTGTAACAACCTGGAAAATAGATATAATTTTAACAATAAGGAGACTGTAAATCAGAACATTACAGCCTGACACCAGTATCACCGAAACCACCAAATAGGCAAATTAAGCAGAAAAAACTTGTCTGACAAATTTCACTCTACTTGAAAATAATATTCTGTGCAATTCACTCTAAACTACGTCTTGAGAGTTCTGTCCCAAGAAACTTTATGAAACAAAACAAGACTTTTGATCTTTATTGAATTACTTAAGGTAAATTAGTTTTTTCTCTGAAAAATTAAAAAAGGGAAAATAAAAATGTGAATTATTTATTGTAATTACTTATTCAGGATTTCACTGTAGACCTTCAGGCATTTTTGACCGTAATAAACAGTTTCATGTCTGACACAAACTGGGATGCACTGATTCACAGCCAGAATGCTGGTATGTGATTAGCACAATTTTTATTTTTTAGACAGCCGTCAGAGCGCCCCGCGCTGTGGTAACAGGCAGCCACATCCATGCATCAGACAAAACTGCCCTGCCAGCAAACCCTGCATTGGTACCTCTCTGCTCCGAGATACTGAAGGACACCAGGCTGGTAAATGTCACCCTCTTTCAAGAGGTGGAAGTGACATTCATGCTTCCAAGTGGGTGCCTTCAGGCAAGGCCTTTTCACACTATGGGCATGAATCATGCAGAGGTTTAGGGGCACATCTCAAGTACTAATGTGGAAAAAACAAATTGTATGAATGTATGTATCCTATTATCTTTTTAGATTTGTATGATTAGACCAGATTATTTTTCATTCTTTTTTTAGTATATTACAAAACAACTGCAAGAACAATTGCAAAACTCACAACTAAAGTAAAGAAATCACAGATTTTTTAAAATCAGATAATTATGCATAATATCATGATGAATACCTAATAAGATTTTCATTGAAAAGCAAAAAACATTTTATTTTTAATGGAAAGCTATAACTTTTTTTTCAAGGGAATAAAAACTACCAAAATCCACTGTCCCCCTGACAAACATTTGGTTTTGTTTCTAGTGCATAAAGAAAGAAAACTTCAAGAGTGTTTAGTCACCCACAGACAGACAAGTTACTGCTCTGTAGTTACTCTGTGTATACACACATGCAATAATATTCCCGTATCTGTTCTTCATTCTGTTTTCATCTTTCTTTGCAGACTCCCAAGGTGCAGACTGCCCTTCAAAAAAACTCTGAAATGAAAGAAAGAAATGGCATTAAATGGTGTGTCATTTACCAGCAGTAAAATTATATCTAAGTTAAGAAACAGACCTTCTTAGAAAAAATAAATATCCACATCATTAGACTTCAAAAACAGGGACAACAGATACCTCCAAGCTATCTCAAACAGCACAACCATTAGGATATCAGTCAGTGTCTTGCAGCATTATCCCAGTGCACCGTTTCCAGCACACAGTGTACTGTCTGGCTCTTTTGAAGGACTTGCTTCAATGAAAATAAAATATACCCACAGGCAGATCAAAACCACTTGCTCTGCTGCTACTTATTAAATATTAATCATGTCCTGGTGAAATTCACAATTCCTATCTTGCATGACTCACAATTATTACTAATTATGAAAATAAACTTCATCGCCTGAGCCTTATTATTTGACTTTTTAGGAAAGCTCCAGACATTTCTGCTGCCTTCACAGACTGCTGCAGCTGCTTTCCCTCTTTTCTCTCGTATTTCAAAAACCACACTTTCAAGTTTCTTCAGGAGGGGATTCGTAAATTGCTAAGATTACTCACACAAATTAACAGAGCTGCTGCATGGTAAACCAGCTCTCCTTTAATATTTATTACATACTCCGTATCCAAGATTTCAAGAGTGTAACTTTTTTTAATATCCGTCTGAGGTTTTGCATTTATTTCATTGTGTACAGTATATGAAAGAGAGAACCGATGCAATGTGTACTATTACCATTGCTTCACAAAATCGCTGTGCTCTGGTAGTGCTAAGCACTACAAAAAATCTACAGTGCACTGTATTCAGATCTTCACCCTACAAACAATTCTCAATACATTAAAAGCTAGGTTTTCTTATTATAATGAATAATGAAAAGGAACATTGTAAAAAAGGAGGTTATTAAATTGAAATTAAAATAAAATCTGGTCCCAACACCAGCATGCTGTGCAAGCAAATTATAAAGTTTAATATTTAACCATCCTAAAGTCAAGAAATACCAGACATTACAGTATGTGATATGTATGTGTCTTTTAATTATCAAGATGTGATGGAGAAAAAGAGGGTCCAGATATAGATAGGACAGATTATTCCTTAACAATAAATAACGCTGACAACATTGAACGACACACAACAGTCACACCATGAATGTACATTTGCAGATCTGAGAGTTCCAGAGCCCTGTACCCATGGAAGGCCCCAGAATTCTATCCTTACTACTTCAACAGAACAAAAACACCTTAACAAGCCAGAGAGAGCCCGCACCCTGATAAATAAAACCTATGGTAAACAGGACTGAATCTCCCTCTCTAAAGAGACGAATGGGAATCCATTTCCCTACACTGAACAAAGCCAGCACTGAAACGGGAGGGATGATTTAGCCTGGGGATTCCACAATATGTGAAATCAGAAATGTCTAAACTAAGACTGCAAATTCTCTTTTATAATTAAACTCAGATTATCAGCATCCAGATTACCGGAACAGAATCTGGTTTCAAACGTGATTCGAAAGGAAACTTCTTCCTGTTCCTGTCTGTTTTTCTGTATTTAGCCTACTCACTGGTGCACTTACTACGAATGCTACAGTCACTGATGACTATTACTAGTTGAGTACGACCGATTTAGCGATTCAAGTGAATTAGTTTCCCCTTAGTTAATTATTAGGAACACTCCTTTGATCATCACTTGCATGGCCAAGGTTGCTGTACAGTATAAATACAGCAAAACAACACACGAACTTCAGAACTTTGCGGCTGAAAATTACAAACGTTAAGCTTGTTGTAACCCACCTCCCGACCACAATAGTGTGTCCCTTTTTTAATTTCTGAACTCTGTCATTCGTGCTTAGTGTGTTTTTGCACGTCACCATCTAGTCTCTCTCCAGTTTGTACTATAACTAAAAAAAAACCCTAATCCTGGGCAATGTCAACATTAATGTTGATTCCTCCTCAAACTCGGCTCACTCCTGAAGTTTTCTGCTCTCTCCTCTGTCTTTGCAATGGGCACTGGACCACAGCCACCCTTTCTCATGATCACAGCATCCAGGTTCAAATGACTACAACTCCCTGACATGCTGTTCTAGCGAAGCTCCTGTCTTATTCATTTTCAATTTCTAAATCCACCACATAATATTGAGAAAATATGAAAAATAAAATATTGGAGCCACAACAATTCAAAGAGGGAGTTGGGTTACGCAGAGAATAAATCAAATCAATCATTTCAGCAGAGAACATTCCGAAATAAAAAAAAATGTTTTGATTATTGTAATTAAATCTACCGAAAAGCAAATTCATTTTTGCTCATCTTAAAACAGATAATACAAATGTCTCTAAACTGTCTAATGGGGTAAAATGAGATGCCATTTTAAACAATTACTGGTGAAATACAAGCCTCTAGGACTGAACACAGGGACATTTAATTTAATGAGGAGCTAGGAAACCTTTTCCAAGAGACAGCTAAGGTTGGGGGATCAGGCTTTAAAATGCAAATAAGAATGTCCTTTGAATCATCAAGCAAAGATATAAATGTATTTCACAGCAGGATTAAATGATGCCCCTTATCACATGACCTTTTGCTGGCCACATCAGGTCCTATTAAGGGTGGCAACTAAGGCCTTTCACATCGTCCTGACAAGTGATGTTTTGAAGGGCAAACATTTAAATGTGCATCTCTTCTCCTTTACACATTTTAGGACATATTCCAAATATTATAGACTGTTTCAACATACTGAGCATCAAAAGAAACCTATTACTTACACACCGCAAATAATTTACAACTAAAGAATCTGAAAGAAAGTTAAAAGAAAAATGGAAGTTCTTTTTTGCAGCAAGTGCATTGCAGTTTTATGGAAGACATGACACTGGTACATTCATTACGCTGATTAGGATTTGTCATTAATGGGGATCTACAGTGACAGTCGCAAGGTAGCAGCATATGTAGTCACTATCTTTAGGAAAAAATATTTTTAAAACCACGAATCCACGTACAAGTGGGGCTCTGCAGCAAATAAACAGTGCTAGATCACAACTATTAGTCAGGCCTGATCACAGCTGCGTGATGATCTGCCAGTCCTGGAGAGGTTGTGAAACTAACACAATGGACAGTTTTGGGTTGCATTGTCTTGCTAGGTGAGAAATTACTGGTTGTCAACACAGCGAGTGAGTGTACTGACTAAGTCCAGTCCTCAGCATACTGATGGTACTATTCTGCATTATTCTGTTGATACAGTAGGTTCCTTTCCGTGTGCTTCTTTCAGTGATCTACTGGGCATTACATTCAGCAGGTTAAAGGACCTTATCACTGCACCAAGTCAAGTTTCTCACTAATGACATGATTCAGTGCAGAAGCAACAAGCAATGTCACTCAATCGCATCACTGTCAATCCTGAATGATTAATCAAAATAATACCAAAAACATTTAACTATATTGATAAAAGTATACAATATTTTTCCTAAAGTCTTATGCATAGTTTGATAAGTACCTTTCAATGCTTTGTGTATATACCTGTATATATAATGATACTGTACATTGCAGGGAAAGCTTCTGTATCTTCGGCACAGGCTTTGCTGTGATTAATCCCTCTACTATACAGCCTGAGATCACAGGGGTACAGTAAATTGACTAAACCATATGCCTCTGACATAGTTTAGACATTCTTTTTTATAATTAGATTAATGAAACAGTGAAAACATACCAAGAAAAAGCAGCAAAGCAGCAGTGAGGAGAATTTAAATGGTCGTTTGGATATTTTAAAACAGTTTCAATACAGGTAAACCATGACTTCAGCAAAGGCATAACTTGCTCAAGTTGCTAAAATATAGACCTTTGACCAACAGCTAAAGATGTCAGGGATGAGATTATTTTATCAATTAAAAATCCTTGCCCATACAATTAGCACTTACTAGAAAACAAAACGTTTTTAAAAAAACACATATAAATATTATTTTAATTAGAAACAAACCTTTCAATTGAAAAGATTCTACATACTGTAGTTATTTTCTACAACAGAAAGGAACAGGCAGGAAGGTTTAACGTGTCATTTTTAAAAATGACGACGGTAATACAAATATTTTTTTTTACCAGAAGTGCATGTCTACTGAATGATTCATTTTATGCACTTGACAAATGTTATACCATAGTTTAAAATGAAGGCATGAAGGAAAAATAGACTATAGTGACAATTAGCCACAGTTCTTTCATTTATTTCATAAAAGCAATGAATGCCTTTCAATTCAAAGCAGGAATAAGTCATAACTGACCAAGTCTTTAAAAATATTAAATGTAATGTGGCTAAAATACTATGCATTCCGTTAAAAGCAGTCCGATTTGATAATTAATTTCCACTCAGATGTCTGGGAGAGGATACAGTCAGGAAATTCAAGCCTTTATACATAAAGTTGTTGGGACAATTGAATATACAGTAGTTTAGATCTAATCTTGACTGTGTATATAAAACTAATCACTAGGTTTTTTCTTCGATTGTAGCCAGTGCAAATATCATTAAGGCAATATTACTGCCACTATTAAATATATTAATCAGCAGTATAAATTTTAAGATCCAAGGTGACTGCAGCAGCCTGTGCCTGAACTAAGAATTTTGCTTTAAGGCTGCTCCAGGCTGTATCTTACTTTACTCCAATTACCTATTCCAAGCACGGACAAACCCATTTTCCAGTGGAAATACAGCAATACTGCTCTGTCCCAATCATGTGCCTCAAATGCATTGGAGATGCTACAAAATGAATGCTTCAGTGGCACAAAGAGACATGAGAAAGATGAGACTGGGCTACTCTGGCACATTGCAGAAACAAGCACAACTATTAGTCAGGCCTGTTCACCCCTAACTTGGAAGACAAGCGACGTGACTTTGCCAAAAGTAATGAGACTCCAAGGACAGTCACAGGATTAGTGGAGCTAAACGAAACAGAAATCCAAGAAGCACATCCTAACAATGAGTTCTGTTATGAGCTATGAGCCCTTTAATAACCAACCTTCAAGGAATTTCAGGGCAACAGAAGCAAATCTGAGATTTAAACAGAAACAGAATGTGAAGACAGCAGTCACATCACAAACTACAAATGAGAAAATGAGTTTTTTGCAAAAAAATAAATAAAAAACGCTTAGCTATAACATGGGTTTAATGTTCTGAAAAGTCAAACCTGCTATGGACAATACCCTAACTTTTACCCAGGTGTAGCTGTTTCACCATTGCCAACAGCAACTGGTAAAGCATTAAATATATGCTATAGTACAGTACATACTTACTGTCATATTCACTAATTCACAAAAGGTGAATCCATGTTTGCTACAGTATAACCTCTTCTGATTATTTGACACTTACGGAATTTACAGGTTAAAAAGGAGAGATTTCAAAGAATTCTCTACTCTTAAATGTTATGATAATGAAAACAAATAATATACAGCATTCTGGAAGGTGAAAGGAAAACAATCTTCAAAAGTGGATGGTACTTTGCACAAGATGGCAATCGAGGTGTTAAGAAATTAACATAACTTATGGTCAGAGCAATTTTACATATTTCCCAAAATCTGCAGCATTAAATTCACGACCCAAAAGCTGTCATGCAACAATAATCATCTGGGTGAAGGGTCCAGTGAATTCAGGTAAATTAAAAGGACCCTTTACAGCAAAAAAGGAAAAAGATACGAAAGTGACAAAAACATTTCTGGTGATAAAGGTAAGTATTGGACCAGATTCCAAGTGCTAGGTATTGTGCATTCTATCAGTCAGGAACAAAATGAAAGGTACTACCTCAATATATGGAAAAAAAAAAGAATTCTACAGTACATTATCCTCCATCTTCTTATTTGTGAATCATATAGCTGTACTGTATATACAGTACCTACTGTACATGTTGTTTATGCTCTATGGACACCATCTTTCTGAACCTTGCTAGACTGTACTTTCTGCTCTGTTGCTGCAAGGCGGTGGAATGATTCCCCAGCCCATGTGAGATCTGGCAGGTCAGTCAGCACTTTTAAATCCCATCTTAACATTTTATTAATGCTATATTTACACGCTAGCTTTGAATTCTTTTTTTGTACTACACTGTTTATTCATATTTTTCTAATGTTTTTGCTTTGGCTTGCTTTATTGCACCACACTCTGAGATGGTGCCTTACAAAAATTGCTATATAAAATAAAGGTGTTTTTTTTCTTCCATAATAAATAAAAGGAAAAAAGTGTTTTTTGAGAGCTTTGGCCATTAATTGTAAGAAAGCTTTAATGCAAGGTACCCGTGGGCATCTGAATAGTTAATTCTTATTCATGTATTTTTTCCACTTAAGCTCACCATGAAACATTTACATAATTAAGTAACAATGATATACTTGATATGTTTTTACCTAACAGTCTATTGATTTGACCACAACAAACTGCAACAAACAGAAAATCTCTGACTTAAAACTTTCACAAGATTAATGGGAATGGGAGATAAACTAAGAAACAAATCTTTAATTGCACTATGTGCATTACAGATTAAGTAAAAGAGCAGATCCATAATGGCCAGGTAATTCTGGTATAAGCGCACTGCACCAACACTTTAGTTACCTAGAATCTCAGACTCATTCCTCTCACTTTTCCTCAATTTCAAAACCATTTAAGTTCTGGCTGGTCTGTAAAGTTTTATACCCCTACTGTCTGCAATCAAGGACAATATACACACTTAGTTTTCTAATTCTTAGAAGATATAATGTATTTGTTACATTATTAAGCAAGATTTATTTTAAGGCCTTTGTACCACAGAGGAATTAAGGTTTACATCATCTAGCTGCCACAGAATGGAGAAAGACTAGGTACAATGTTATACAGTAGGGCGCAACTGAAAGTTCTACATTTAAATTTACATTTAAACCAAAAGTTTCTGCTTACCTCATTTATCTTTTCCATAGTTAATGTACAGAATAACAAGAAGCATGGATTAGAAAGAAATAAGTAAATAGTTTAGTAACGCACTGCCTTTCATCTTCAGAAGTAAGATTTTAAAGATCATTTTCCAAAGACAGATAATACTTGGTACACAATGTAGAACTGAAAACATGATTTTAAACTCTTACATATATTTTATGTTGCATTTTACTTTAAAATGTTGACTATAGCAGTTAAAAGAGTGCATCAATTATTCTGTACGCTATATTTTTAGCAGACTATATTGTGGCACTACACAGTAGCAATCCAGGCCCCAAAATCTTTATCCATAATGAATTACACCCTTAGGGCAGCCCAAACATTCCTGTGCAGGGAATTCTAAGAGGTTGCATCATTTATTTAATCTCTGAATTGCTCACTCATGGGACTGCTTTTATTATAGGTAAACCTCTTGTGCACAAATCAGGTAGCCATGTTCTTCTCATGTCCACATAAGAAAAGATGTCATCCTTTTTTTTCTAGATTCAAACAGTTGTTTTTCTGAGACTGTTAAAGCAAAATGTTCTTTGCCATAACCGAACAGCTTTACAGATAATGAAAGTTTTTTTTTTGTTAGAATGAGTCATGCATAGCATCAAAAATATCCCTGTTCATTTTCAACTGTCTGTAAACATGCAGATGCTGACTAAATTTTGAATTCAGGGACAAAAATATAAGTGTAGCAGGCAACACAGATCCACTGAAAAAAAAGGAGAGACTGCTTTACAATTGCTGGAGATTTAAACACAGAGACTCCAGATGAGGGACATGAATCCATTGTCGCCAAACTGCAGAAATATGTTCTCAAAACTAATACATGAACAATAAAAGAAGAGTTCATTGATAAAACAACTACAATTAAAGTGAAGACTAAACAAGTACATTTCTTTAGCTTTAAGTAAACTAAACTTTGAAAATGCGCACCTAGAAAACTAACAAATGCAGAGAGGTATAGAGCTAATACTGCAATTACTTCTTTGACACTAAGATCCCCTTTTCAATTACAGATGTTGAAAGAAACCAAATGCTGCTCATTATACACTGCCACACTGATGTGAACTCTCCACAGAGTGCAGATTTGATAACTTTACAAGAAAAAAGGGTGCAAAAGGAAAGCTGCAGTTCTGCAGGTTACTGTGACCTTTCTTCCCTGTACAATGTGCTTGTTAGAGAGGCAGTGTGTGTGCACAGTTCCCCCGCTCACCTCATACTCCTCTTTGAAGCCATAGCCCTCTGCACACTTCATCTGCGTTATGTGCTGCAGGAGGTCAGCCACCCGGATGGCGGGGTGGAGCTGCCCGGTCTGATACGGCACGTCCACGGCTTCCCGCTTCTTGTAGGAGTGCGACTGCACCAGGCTGCTGGTGTCACTCGCCATGGTGTGGTTTTCATCTGGAGCAGAGCAACGACAACAGAGGTGCAATGTTATAATGACTGGGCACAGTCGGCACTAAAAACGCAGGCCGCTGCATTTCATTGTTTAAACGTAATTCAGAAGTGGACAGGGAAAAAATACAGGCCATCTTTTTTTCCCACAAAAATATGTTATTTTTAACTCTTGAAGAATCTTAAATGAACCATCTGTTAATGGCCTAAGAATCTTAAATCTGCACCATGCTCCCTGCTCTTTTACAGTTCTGCTATATGCGATACAGGAGGTTCTCCAAATACAGTCGGCCTACATACAGTAATAGCAATAAACAAAACAGATGAAAATAAAGCATAAATAAGTAATGTCACAATACAAAAGAGGACCATGACACTGATGCAAAAGACACCTACTCTTTAAAACTGTGAAAAAAGAGCAAGTTAAGCACATTGTTTTGTAAAGGAACAATACTGCATTTTTACAAATTCCCTGCCAAGAAAATTCTTTATGAAAAAAAAATCTTTAACTTCTCAACGACACATTATAGAGTCTAAACTAGATCTCACAATTAGACCATTGTGACAATGATGAGGCACAAATACTTCTGAGCACACACAATGACACACGCTGAATGGAGTGTGCGGTTTTAACTAAGATGGCAATGTCTGATGCAACACCTTCAAAACAAATAAAAAAAAATAAAGAAAAATGACAAATGCGAGAAAGTCCACATACTCGAGGTTAATGTTTTGATCGGACACTTGACATGCCACTAGCTAATGGCTTCACAGTCGACCATGGGTTATTACACTGGGCATGAAATGCTATATGTCAACTGCCATGCAAGTCAACAAACAACAGAACCAGCCAAACAGGCTACATTCTGTATGAACCACACAATCTCCTCCCCCATAGGGCAAACTGGGAACTTACCATTAATTGGCACTTTTTAAGAAGATACATAACAGGTTATTGTGAAGAAAAAAGGAGGAGAAAAAGGAAACAGGATATAAGCAACAATACAGTATGAGCAGCTGTACAGTTTCTATAACTACTCTAGGCAGGTTCACAGGCCTCTGGTAGGTTAGGTTAATCACAGATTAAATTAAAAGGATACACTGAAGGGCAGACTGTGGGAAGATAATTGACTGGGGTCATTAAGAATGATCAGTTTACCTTTGGATGTGGATTCCCCCACAGTTAAAAAAGGGTATGCATATATACTGTATATATAATAAGTGTAATACTAAAATAAATCTCTTTCTTCAGTGTCTTGAATACTACCACCATCAAAAAAGAGCTCTTAAATTGGAATTATTATTGTGGCTATGATTTAAAGTTTCAGCACTTCTTCTCTTCCTGATAAAAAAAAAGAAAGGGCAAAATATCTGGGTTTGATGTTAACATGTGATCTGATCCCAAAATCTGAACTCATACATTTGCCAAAAAATCATGAAGAATAGAAAGCTTTATGATAAAATTATTACGGCACTAGTTCTGCTGTGGCTGTTACACCAATCCGTGTTTTTGTGTCTCAGACATCTCAACATGAGCGCTAATTTATCTCGCAGAATTGAACTGTTAAGTAAATCGTGCTGTATAAGCTTTCTACTTGGATAGCCATGATTCTATTAGACCTTCCATGCCTGCTCAACTCAAGACGTGAATCAGTGCCAATTACCAAGTCATCCTGCAAAAAAATAAAACTATGTGGACTTTGCATAACAATTGCAATAGCACATCATGCTACAAAACATGTCCTTATGCCTTCAAGGTTCTGCATACATTCCAGGGAAGAAGCCAAAGTTTGCATTGATTTCCCCCCTCCGATATTTCATTCCATGCCAAAATCTATCATGCTTCTGAGAAGAGGCATCACTACTAACAGTACTCATACCAGTTATCATGAAATTATTTTCCATACATACAAAACTCTGAAATGCTGCCAAATGAAAAAAAGGCATCTGTAGACGGCCCAAAGCCAGAAAAATAATCAATGAAATTGGGTTCCGTTATTGTAGCAAAAATAAAATCTGTGAAATTGATCAATTTTGTTTAATTAGGGCATCACCTGCCATGGTTTCTATTTAAGCAGGAATCGGGTCCTGACCAGTTAGGTACACTGTAGCACTTGTTGTTTTTTTTTCTCCATTTTTCCATTTCTCGACAGTAATCTCGGCAACTACAGTCACAGCAATGGCAATGGGCAAGAAGGTGCACCCCTCTGTCACTCCCTTCATCCTGTCCACATTGTCTGTCCATGCATATGAGAGGTCATACACATATGTGACATCACACGCACGACACGGAATGCGGATGGGATGGAGTGAAGCCAGTTTCAGTTCAACCCTCCTGATCTCACAGATAAGAAAGCAGACAGGAATGGAAGTGGAGCGGTCCTCAATCAAAAAAAAAACAACAACAACCGGACGACCTCAGGTTTACACAAGTACTTCTTTCCTCATGTGCGTAGTTTGCTATTTTTTTTGCCAAGACGATCACTACAAGAGATACAGAAAAGGAAAATGTGAAAAGAACTTTTTTTCTCACCTAAGATTGCAGTTGGCACAAAGGGATCTGCTCATACAGCGTAACCAGTGCAGAGAGGACATTTATAAAGAAGAAAGAATATGGTAGTAAATAAAGGGATACATTCTCCTCTACGTAAGGAAGGAACACAGAAAATTGAGTGATGCACAAAAAAGCAGACTTTCTCAGCCCATCTGGTTACTGATAGACGCAAGTACACAGCCAAATAAAAAGCATTAAAAGTTCAGAAGACATTTACTCAGAGACATAGACATGTTAGGTCCAAAAGCAAAGCCTGTGGTTAAAGTCCTCAATACTATAAAAATGTACAGTACTCTCTTGCAATGCAAAAAGTGTAGTTACAATGATGGAAGATATTTTGCATATTCTACTAAATATTTAAAGAAATTGCTAACGTGGTACCCAGAACTAGACCTAACTATAAAGTTGTAATTATTTTCTTTTTTAAAAAAGTACCTAATAGACTTCAGGTAATATTGTAACAGAGATAACACAGCAGTATTGCCATTACCTGGGTAGTATGAATTGGGAACTGTTGTGCTGAGCGTATTTGTCTTCATTGTAAACGATGATGGTGAAGACACAGCTAAAAAGAAAGAAAATGAACAGAACAGAGGCAATTAGATTAAATTCTGTTTTTTTGAATATTTATATTTCACTAGAAATAGAAATATGTCTTCATTTAACACAACAGAAAGGAGAATCATGTATTCAGACTGTCTCCTTCAATATTTACAATACTGGTTTTTTAGCGCTTACATGTAATTCTTTCCATCTCACTAAGTGAGACCTAGTGCCTAATCTATCACTTGAGTTAATGGAGATAATGAAATTATCAGAAATATGCCCATTTCTAAGTTAAAACAACAACTTTTGGCTTCAATTTATATCATTTTCTGACACTCTCTGTATACCTTTTTATACTTGATAAATCTTGGTATCCAACCATTACGGCATCCATTTCAATTTACAGAATAATGGATTATCCAGACAGTTATTACAAAATTAAAAAAAGAAAAGGAATGAGGATGTGAGGATTTTAAAAATACTTTGAAGCAAAGAGCAAATATATCCCCAAAAATATTTTTTTGTGATTCTCTCAGTCACAGAACCTGGTTTTAGTCCTTTCACTACAAGAAGGTTCGCTGTAGGTGAACTTTACTTGTGCTTTAGTCTAGAAAACCACTTATACAAGTGTGCCGGATGAGGCCACTTCTTTAACTGGTTCATCAAAAGTACTGTGCTTGACAGCCTGTTCACCACATTATTGTAAATCTAATTTTAAATGGCTCAGTTCATCAACCCTAACAGCACATCAAGGGGTGTTGTGCAGCACCCAAAGCACTATGATGGAATAGAAGCTGTTTCATGAGCATCGAAAAGCTGAACAGAACTACAGAATTTTAATGAGTCTCATCAAATTAAAAATTAAAATCCGGATTTGGCTCTGGACAGCACTTCCAGTGGCTGGAGAGGAAACCGCAGTCTGGGATCGATTTGTGTTACCATGGCACAGCAACGGCAGAACTGCAAGACTTAGCAGCTTGGAGCCAGAAACACCACTGAATTCCAACATCTCCAGATTGTTAAGAGTGAGAAAGGGATGAGTTTCTTTTCAGACCACAGTTCAGTTTTGTTTTTAAAAAAAGGCATTGAAAGCAGAATATAAAGAATTGATTTCACATTAAAATAATAAATACAGTTTATAAAAAAATACTGTTGCCACATGACAGTTACAGTATGTTAGGAATTTGCTTAAAACAAAGGATAAGTTATATTAATTAACTTGTGGTGAAAAGCATTAAGAAAGGAAAACTATTCATTCATGTGTTGATTGTTAAATTCACAAGGTTTTTTAGTTGTCAGTTATGCTTCAATCTCATTTCTGACTAATTTCCGATAAACTTACTTCTGCCATTGAGGTTGTGTGTGTCCATGAAGGAGAAAGCCTCATCACAGTTCGTCCCCTGTTCAGTGTAACTCTTGTCCATCGAGTTCACCATCACAGTCATCTCTTGTCTAGTGCTGCTTAAAGTCTCCTTGCGCTTCTTTGCAAGTTTCCTAAAAACAAAAAGTTAGGTGAATTCTTTTAATACTCCAAACACAAAACTATTTCTGTGTTTCTGGGAAGTTTACTTAGTGACACATGGCCCCCGATCCTCCTAGTTTCTGCAGGCTATATTCATTAAGACATTAAACTTACAAAATATTCTACTTCTTTTTTCCTTAGTGCAAACTGTAAAATAACATGCCGATGATATTATATGAAGGCAGCTAGAGACCTTTAGCCACTTTTCTGATTTATATCTTGGTTCTCTCCCGTGCCCAACAGCTGCCGATATGATGGGAGAAGTTACCAGCTTCACACACAACAAAGAAAGACCTGCCTGACACTCAGTTTAGAGAGTTAAATGTCATGCTGTTTCTCACAGGGTAGGTCAACGTGTCTTATGGGGATGTAAAAAGCACCTCAGTGGTCAGATGTGTCAAAAATGTGGTTGCCACAGTTTGGTGTCAAATGTGTAGATGAGAATTCAAGAGCTGACGACACCCTTAAATGTCTAAATGACAATGCAGAAAATGGCCTAATGTGCTCTCCTGGGGCTGCATGTCAGAGAAGGGAGGCAGGCAATGTACTTACACCAAGGGGAATATGGAGATGTATGATAAAATTCTCTATAAAGATTTTGCCTGCAGCAACATAACATGTGGGCTCCCAGTATGTACTGTGTGCCGGCACGAATGTGATGCAGAGCGCACAGTGAAGGGATTCCCCAGGGTGGCTGAGAGAAAATGCACTACAATCAACAGGCTTACAAATGAAGCTAATTAAAGGTGTCAAGAAGAGGCCCTGTTAAACTAGCTGGAAGAAACTTGGAGAACCAGGGGAAGGCAGCAGTGCAGTTTCTGCAGGTAGGAGAAAGCCTTTTTGGAGTAGATTTAAGAAAATATTACCTGAAAAGAAATGACTCAAATTAACTCCAAACAACACAAAGAACCCAATCAGGTTAGCAAAACCTGCAGCTATCTTATGGAGGCTGTAAGTCACGTGTCATGAAGATAACAGTGAATGTTCTGAATATTATAGGAGCAATTACTATCACTATTAAGAAGTGCCTCCTTTCCTCAGTTTGAAATACACTTCCTCCAGATTTCCACTGGAGCCCTTTAAGGATTCTGAACTCTTGGATCTGGTGGTCCCAAAGTAGCAACCTTTTTTCAAGATTAAAAAGGAAAAGTTCCTTTCACCTGTCATTATATCTGGTTGCTTTCTTATGGCCTGATTCCAGAGAATATTTTTTTTTTACTGTTGGGACCAAAATTATAGGTCTTCCTTTTTTACAATTTTAATAATTTTATTATTACATAAAGAACTCTTTCATATATACTGTATAAAAGAGCAGATGGTTTTGTGTCTTCTAATTCACTTTTATTATTTTTAAGTCAAGCTTTCCAGTAGGTTTTACATTTTTAATCTTCTCATTTTGGACATTAAAGTCTTTATTGTTCAATTTGCCAGTGCTGCAACTTATGACTCCACTTGCAAAAGATGGAACACCTAGCAAGACAGTAAACAGAGTAATGCAATCTGTCACAAGCATCCAAAGAACACAGCCAGTGAATGTATTTATTATAATGTGCTGTAATAATGCCCCAATTTTCCCTGAAGATTCAGGAGCAGAGATTAGATACTATAAATCTGAAAGATCCTGTGCAGAAGACGAGTGGTGTAACAGGGCAAATGAAGATCGGATCCACACCATATTGCACTATTTTAAGGAGCAAAAACAGAGAGCCTGTTGTGTGAGACAGATCTTGAGACCAGTCACGTCTGCCAAGAAGCTGATGAATCTATGCCATGTTTGTGGCACACCTCTTGGACTCCATTCATTTCTGATCAGTAATTCTCACTAGTAAACAGCCCTGAATCATCTAGCCTGTGATTTGTGCGTCTCTGTGTGGGTGGTCGTGTACATTTCTGTTAGTTCAGCTTCTCAAAGCTGCCAACACATCTGAAACAGCTGACGGCCAGCAAGCATTTTGTGAAGGCGGAGGTCCCCTGCAAACTCTAAATGACATTAAAACACATTTCTTCGTTGAAAGAACAAAAACAAAGGACAGCGATTCTGCGGCTTTAACACAGCCAGCGCTTTCTTAATGGTTACGTAAATCTGGTATTTTTTCCAAATTCTAATGGCAATTCTCTTAGAGCTCAAATCAGCGTTCCTTCTATGTAGAAGCCCGAGGGCAAAAAAGACTGCAGAAGTTCTAGAGACGAAGCTCACTAATGGAGTGATTCTCCGGTTATCTTTCAGGAGTATTCCCTATAGTATGAAGTAGTTCATAACAGGACCTAATACATTACAAAATTTGCAGAAACTGTGCATTTTCTTAATGACAGTAACAAACAGCTGTCAGTCAAAACAGTTAAAAGATTTCCAACAGAAAAAGCTGATGTTTTTCTGTTTAATAATTCTTAACTGAAAACTAGTAAATAAAACCTTTTAGAAAAGGTTAAGACAAAAAAAACACTAAGCCAGAAAAAGAATATTTCCAACACATTCTGTAAGCATGGAGCACCTCATAGTTTCTCAGTTTTTCTGGATCATACACCAGCATTTGGTTTTTGAGTGTTTCGAAAACACATCACTGCTGCACTCAATACACCCAGTGCTGCAAAACAAAGGTACAAGTACCCTGGTAGAGGAGATTGGCTTTCAAGCAAGGTGAAAGCAGTTTATACTTCTATCAGCAGCTAAACAACTTTGAACTACACTGCACCACTCCAGCCACCTCACGTTCTGTTGTTTGACTGAGTAAGAGCAGGTGACAAATTGACAAATGAAATAAATGCAAAACTGACAGAGTGGAAAAAAAACATTTCAGGAAAGAAAATGTAGTTTTGCTTTGAATACAATGTCAGAAATAAGAAATAGCATACTGGCAGCTCTTAAGAAAAAAAAAGACTTATTCCAGATTTCTCTTACACTCATTTGCTTTCATAAATGTGTTTATGCAGAGATCTTTTCATTTATTTGCAGAAGTAATACACCTACTGTACTCACTTAATACACTCAAAAGTCATCATAATCATTTTGAAAATGATAATGATTACTTCACAATAAAACAATACCTAAATCTGAGGCAAAAGCTACTTAATCCATTTTTCTGCAGAGATAATTATATATACAAATCACCAACACTCTGCTGTGATAAATTAGCAATATATTAAGCGAATTAAGAAATGTTATGAGGGAAAATAAAAGCTTCTTTCACATGAAGAATTTCTGAGATGATAAAATTTCAAAGGATCAAAATTCCTTTTTAAAATGTAAAAGCCTAATTTGCAAATGGCAGCTTAGATTTAGTGCTACATTTGATCATCTGAATCTGCACTTATCTTAAAATACTTAGTTTAATTTGAGATTTGTCATAAAAATCTTTCCTTTGCCTCATTTCCATGCATCTGCTAAAATATAATTTTAAATTGGGACTTTTTACAAGAAAAAACAATGTTGCCTTGGATTAACCCCTTTAAAGCACTTACCAGGAAAGTGAATTATTCATGTGAAATTCAGACTGAAGAAAACACAATGTGCTGCAGTGATTATTGAGATAGTGGAACACTGCTTTAGCTTCAAAAGTACCTATTACAGTAAGTACATACAGCACAAAAATTAAGCAAATACATTCTAATCCAAAACATACTGATATAAATGTTGAGGTTACGTAAAAAGGCCAATATGGCGACAAAAACTTGTATGATTACAATTTGTTTAAACATTTCAAGACTCAATCTGTTATTGGTGAGGACAAATAAACAGCAGCTCATTCACATCTCAATTATTAATCTGTATGCAAATAAATTACCACTACTGGCAATGGAAATTCACTTTACTGCGAATACACAGTATTGGCAGTCACGTTTCATCGGTCTGGGCCTGGTCAACACAGGGTGATGAGACCTCGATGAGAAAAATAAAACTGCTACTACAAAGTGCTGCTGGTGGACTAGGAGGCACGTCTGGACCAGAATCAAGATGTTTCTTCTCGACTATAATTTCCACAACCAACGTCCCAGAGGATTCACGAGGGACATTTTGTTTTAGGAAGTTCCAGTCTTCAATCGACACGTCAAATTGTGGTCCTGACTCATTAGTCATTACTGATCTCATAAACAGTTCACAGAAGTAATGACGTAAATGAGAGGTTAATCCATGCTGAAAGGCACAAAGGAAATACTTGTTGAGCCTTCTTCAGGTACAAAGGAGAGAAAGAAAAGGTGCTAGTATATGAAGCAATGTAGAACAGAGCACATTTGGGTAACAACTGAATCCCTTCATAACTGCTACACGAGATGTTATAATGTTATAATTACATACTGTACATCATGTTTTACAGGGACATGCGCAAATGACATACTGTAAACTACAGAAGAGGTCATGACATTCATTTGAGCGTTTCATCATACAAAAGCATTGCTATACATTCTTTCAAATGCCATTATGCACGTTATGCCATTTGCGCATCTCCCTGTAAAGCATGACGTAGAGTATGTGATTATAACCTCTTGTGTAGCAGTTACGCAGAGATTATGAAGCCATTAAGCAGAAAAATTCAAATAAACCATTACCCAGCGGCACGCACACTGATGTAGTTCACCATTCCCACCACTTCGTAACACCTACTGCAATCATATTAAGGTTCTTTCCCTTTATACTGTATATCCCTTTCCATCCCCAAGGATGTCCAACAGCTTTACATACCCCTTCACCTACTACTGAAGCACCGCACCCATGGGGAGACACATAGCCACCATTACCGTAAGTGCCAGCATCTGCACTGCTCAACAGATCGGCTGGAGGACGTTTCGGTCAGATGTGCAACTGAACCAGACCACCACATTGACAAGGCTGGGCCTGGTCAGAAATGGGAAGGGGATACAGTACCTCCATGGAGAACCGAGTTACTCTTAGACGCTGTGTTCATGGACCAGTAAGTGGCTGAAGACTTTCTGGAGCAGAATTTCAAAATAATTTCCCTTGTATGCTGACTGGGAA